CTTTCTGCCAGACATCATCATCATTACAAATCTAAAACACAAAGCAAACTTGATGTGTGAATCAAGTATGTTGAATGCCTAAAGCAGTTAATTTAGGGGGTTGAGAGTTCTGCTATACATGAAGGTTTAGTCTGGAAGACTAACAAATTATGGCCAAATTAATGCAACGCAATAGGACCCACACGTAAACCGATAGTAGGGGAAGGAACTTCCTGGGGACTGTTTCGATTGAATGATAAAATATAACAATGTTTGGTTTATCTAGTTGAAGTTTTGAATCAATGTTGTTGGTAGAAAGGGCAGTTTGGGACAGATATTGTGCATTTCAATCAACTAGACAACTTAATTCTACTGAATGAGAGTTCAACTGAAATTCATGTTTTGGGCACCTAATGCGGCAAAAAAGCAGCACGTACAAACATTGGAAGCTAAATTTTGCAATCAAACAAGCCACAAAATTGGTCCTCTTCTCTTTTACAACAAAATCCCATAAATTCACCACTACAAATAAGTATGTTTATCATTGAGAATTTTGCCTATGAAAGAAGAGCTCAAAAGAACGTTAAACATGTTTTTATAGGAATGTAGGACACTGGGACCAGGGAGTCAGTGGTTGAATTTAATCTGGAAGTACTACGTCCATATAAAATGATACAAAGAAGTTGCGAAGATTAACATTCATTTTTACCCTGATTCCTTCTGATTAATTTTTTACAAACCCACAGAGCATTATTATGCATATTGATGTAAAATTAAAGTATTTGAGAACAAGGAACTGAAATTTGTACAAATTAACAACGTATTGTTTTAAAATCTGGTACCATGGATTCCAAAAGTGGGTTTGAGGTTTAATAAGGACCTCAGACTATAAAAATACAATGATTATAAGTTTAAATAATTCTAAATAACACTGCGAAATACCACTTCAATGCATTAAGGGTTTGGACTCCTGCTATCTCATCGATTTAACATAATTTTCTTCTCAAAACAAACCTAATTTCTATGCTTACTTGATTTTTGGCATATTTTAATTTGACAGTCGCAATTTTTCGATCTCAGAACCAATTTCTAGGCCTTTGGATTGTTTGGATTGCAGTTGAACTTTATCCCCACAGTAAACAAAAATGATTAGACTCATGTTGTACGAAATTCAATTTTGGGTCGGAAGGTAGGAAAAACAAGTAACTATTAACTAGATACCTCAGCAATCGCTTTGCAGGATCTGCTAAGACTAACGATGTCCTCGACATTAATAAAAGAAAGAATTTTTTTGATAATGGATGGTGGCATACGAGGCAAGAAATCGAGACGACCCCTCACGATATAGTCACAAAATCGGAGAACTTTGGAGCCCATAATCTGGCGAATTTCACCTATATAATAGACAGTGCAAAAAGTAAACTCTACATACCACGTAACTGCGAATTTTGTTTAAATTCCGAGTAAGTGTTTGAACATTCAGCAGGAGAATATTTATCCGCTTCGTTCCGAGAAGTTATTCGCCATCGTCTCCAGAATATCTGTTTTGGAAAACAAGAGACAATGATTGGTCTTGAACCACAGCGTTACTACTATGTAGAAACTCGCTATTTCACTAAAATGATATTCAAAACCAAAACAAGAGTATTTAAATTGCTAAAAGGAACGGCTTTAAATAGGGTGGGATGGATCACAGAGAACACAGATTATTAGTAAGCCGAGGCTGCCAAATGAACTAAGTGAGCAAAAAAGTGCATGTACTGAATGAGAACATAGACGCAACAAGTTAGGTTAAGACATCAATTCATCACAAATGTTTGCAACTTTGCAGTTTTTAATGAAAAACAGCTACAATGGGTATTAGAAATGACAGAACCTACTATAAAGACTTGAAAATTCAGTTTGATTTACACAATTTTTAGGGCACAAATGTGAGTATTTAATACAGTACAGTTGCACTACTTAGGCACGTTTCGCGTATACAATAAGTCTTAATTAATTAAGAACTCAAATCTTCAGGCCAAAGGCTAGTAATGAGTGTTCACTTAAAGCTTCAGATTTAAAGTGCACAGCGACCTTTGCTATCACCACAATTCATTTTTAAAAAACAAACGTACTTTAGACAAGCTTTTTTTTATTTAACCTGCCAGTTTTCAACAAATGAACATACTTATCTGAAATTTGGGGACACGTTCGACACATTACAATCCCTATGCGTCCACAATACCGCATACCTTATCTTTCAAAATATTTAGGTGATAAAAGTCTCTTTCCGGTGGGGGAGCGGTAGCTGTAAAAGTAGCTATAGCGTCTTCCTTAAATATTCCAAAATACTTAAATGTAGGGCTACTGAATAACTCCAGCATTTTGTAACTGTTAATACATCGCGCCTTTAACGCCACAGTTACAGTCAAGGTCGCGGACTGATTAAGGCAGTGCATTTTCAGTAACAACAGTTTAGTTTGACTACACATGCAATTAGTACTCAAAAACAAAAAGATCATGTAATTATCTGGTAGCCATTTTAATTGCCACACCATACATCACGCACAATTAAGCTTGATGAGCATCGGATAAAATGGCGGATAACCACAAATAGATTTAAATGAAAAGCGTTAAGTCCCTGATCATCTAAAAAGCCATCATTACAAAAAATTCCAAAGACTTTTAATTCATTTCTGGTGGTCAAAACGAGCATGAAAAATGGAACAAATGGCTTAAATGCTCGCGTGGCTTGGAAAGAAAAGCAATACAAAACAGTCCAAAGGGACAAAGTACAATGACATTATAACTATAATGAATAGTGTCAACAAGTATTAATAAGAAGTGGAAATACAATCCTATACTAACGTGAAAACTCGATACAACATGAAATTTTCAACTTAGAATTTAACTGATTAAACTTGCTTCACTTCGCACAAAAGACGACAATGAAACATTCAAGTAAAATGTAACAATGTTTAGGACACCTTGATCTTGTTATTAATGCTGCTATAAATAAAAATTTGTTGACATGTGTTAAGTAACATGAAAGCAGATACACTTGATATATCCTATTAATATAAACGTTGCAATGACATATATGCTATATACTGATTCTAAAATGTTATTCCAAGTAGTAAATGAGAAAACTGAACTCAAGTAGAACGATCTCAGACATAAATGACTGATAGCATCTATGCTCGACATGATGAAATTATTAAAACTTAACCATTAATTCAAGTATGAGTGAACCTGGAAATGACAGGAATAGTTGCGTTAAGAAACGGAAGCATTTTTTTTACTGTGCATAATTATGGTAGGTGAGTGCGGGGAAAACAACAGTCAGAAAATAGTCAATACATTACGAATAAAAATGCTCAGTGTTATTTTATTAGACAGAATAGATTCGGGGCATTAGGTTAGACGGGTTTCCTAGTAATATCGTTTTGTATATTTAGAAATGAGTTTCAATTTATGATTAGGATGGGTTGAAAAAGAACTGTCGGCGAAAAAAACATTCCAAAATTAATCATTAAAGTCAGAATGGGAAAAAATCAACCATCCCGAGAAACTGAATTAGCATACCAGGTTTATTATCATATTTGGTTTTGATTAGTACACATTATGCAGTTAGACAAGCAAAACCTGTAAGAAATGAAAGTGTTTTTGAGAGTCTTCAACAATTAAGGCTCATTAAAGTTTCTACTGAATAAAACGAATATTTTAATCGCTTTGGGCAGCGAAATTGTAGGTGGAAATTTTTCTTAGAGAATGAATTCATGCTTCACACATAGAAGATTAGTAAGTAAAACTGTAAATGCATTTAATAAGACTTGTCTAGATCATCCACTACCGTTGCAAACATCTGCTTTTATAAGTTTTTTTTAATTTCCCTTTTAGAATGACTAAGCCCTATTTCGTTTACCAATTATTTAGGGCATTTGTAATTTATCAATTTAATTCAAACCTTCTACGCTATATTTTAGAACTAAATGCTTTTGGGAATTGATTATTTAATTGACGATTGTTTAATGATAATTAGTCGCTTCATAGCCTTATTTTCATTGGCTGCTTTGGAATTTAAGAATAGTGGGCAACTCACGCTAAATCTTGAGCCAGTTTTTGCACAATGGTAGAAGGTTTGTTTCTTAGTATGTTTAGGCCTGTCATGCTGTCTTTTGCTTCACTCATGGTATCGTATTTTTCTGTCAATTACGTCCGTTTCGTTGCATTCATTATTCTTTTTCAAATTACGTAGTGTTGTATCTCTGCAAATGTTCTTACCGATTTCTTGTTTTACCTATCTAGAACACAATTTTTAATGCACATTATACTAAGTACGCAATTGATCACCTAAGCCCTGGATTCTCAACTAGTTAGCCATTTGGGACGTTATTTTTTAATTCCTCAGTTACTCATTTTTACGTCTTTATGCGTACTTAGTTGTTAATTAGTGCCGTTGTGGTTCCCGTTTGCTTCGAGATCCACATTGGGACGGCCTGATAGCGTTGTCCATGTTAAGATTGAGAAGTGTAATTAGACCAGAAGTGACAGGCACGACTGTTTATTTAATGGCTTAGTTTTGTTGTGGACACACAAGGCTCTGCACACTTATATGTCACAGGTTCTTATAAGGGATATGTAAAAGCTGGTACATGCTTGGACGTGTCCGAATAAGCTATGCGGAAGTTGTGAAAAGTGTGTGGCTTAGAAATAATATGCCTAGTTGACGTGAATCACCATGACTTTCCAACTCATGAACTGTGTAATGAGTTAAGGCGATTCGACGTTAGCGATTTCTTAAGCTTCATTCGGATTAAGTTATTCTTTCACATTTGTCGCCGTGGTCCTCGTCCAGGCGCCACTGGATGAATGTTACTTCTTTAACTCGTGATAAGATGTATGTTTTTTTTTCGAAATTTTTGAATAACACCGCATGCATTTCTTCTGTTAATTGTTAAGATGATAAATCAAGGTCTCCTTCTCCAGGACACGAAGCGAATAAGGTACTCCTATTTTGTTACTTTAACACTTCCTAGAAATTATTATTCGATTATATTTCTGAAACTGCGGAGAAGCTCACATTGAAGTCAGACCTGCTAAGGGAAAACAATTTGGCTGTTGATAATTGGCCAGATGAACGTTTTTTCTCTACAAAGGACTCTACACTAAAGAAAAACACAGCGTTCGTCAGAAAAATAGTAAGCCACACAATTTTCCTAACATTTCCTAGCGTAACTTCACAGAGAGTTCTAAAGAATCGCTCCGAGCGGATTTCGAGGCCCTCAATTTGTCTAAGTATGTTGCCGAAGTGGCTACTGCCATAACCGAACCCAAAATAAAAATGACGGACATCACCTTCATGCTGCAACTTTGCTCTCTTATGCATCGACGCTATTCGGATTTCGGCGGTCTTCTTTTGGACGCGTGGAAAAAAGTGTTCTCTCAACAAAAGTGCGAAAAGGTGCGCAGTGGCTTGTGAAAATTTTCCAATTATTGTTTAGAGCTTATTTGTTTATCTTTTTTCTTTTTCTTTGTTGTCTCCCTTAGACCCCGAACCTCTCAAAATTGAGGGTCGATCTCGTATTTTTCGCTGACTTGATCACTGTAGGGGTCATGCCTGAAAATGAAAGTGTCCGTCTGTTAGCTATGCAACTGACACAGTTGACTAATGGAGATAAAGAAAACTACGTGAACATAGGAATCGTCACTAGTTTTGTGAGGTCTTCCGGGGATGATTGGGCTGGAGTCATACCCAGAAAGTACACGTAAGTTAGTTTTGTACCCATTTGATCTTGACTTGCTTGGTCACCAACTTTCTGTTCCTGACCTCTTGTCTAGCACTGATAAGTAGCTAAAGATTTACTTATTTCATATTTCCTAAAAAATGACATCTTATATTGTCAGAACATCTTCCTCCACACTCCTAATTCGTTATCCTTATTGGGTTTCATAGTACCAAGGCAATGGGTTATTTTCTTCGTATTTATCACATGACTACGGAATATTTTGTATATTTTATTTGCTTTTGAATTCCCCGGTTCTTGTTACGCCAACGTTTGGTGCTGCTAAATTGTCTAGACGAGGGTAATTTCAACATAACTGAAAATAGCCACTTACAGTTTAAGCTCACGCAGTTTATTACCCATCTACGCCCCTTCCGGTTGTAAATCATAAATTCACATTAATTTACATTATATTAAGGCTTCTCTCCAAGAAATTTGGAGCAACGATTCGGCGCTCCGCGTTTCTGTCAAAGGAACGAAAGTCTAAGTGCCGCAGTCTCTTCCATGACTACTATGCGGGAGCCTTGGATCGCCTCATAGGAATGGCCAAGGAGGCGCGACGCGTGATCGCCTCCAATCGGCGTCAAATGCTCACCAAGGGTGAAGTACACCCGGAGCGCAGGGAAAAGGCCGATCAGCTAACCGCGGCATGCAAAAAATTCCACGAGGCTGTCTCCCTGTTGGCCGATGCTGTCGACCGGGACCCACCGCCTTCCATGGACGAACTCATTGCTGGTATGTTTGAATGCATCTGAGTGTTAATTTCACTCAAGCCTTTGTGGCGACTTCGTGTCCGCCCCCGTCAGTAGCACCACATACTACTCACTTTATTTTCCTAGTGGACTTGTTACCATGTCTCCGCGTTACTTTGGTTGTGTTTAGTGAACTTGTTCAATGACAAATTCTCTTTTCAGATAAGGCCGAAAATGACGAAGCAGAAGGCCAGCTTCAGGCACCAACTGTAAGAATTTTTACAAAATTTTCTTTGTCCAATGCTGGTTGATATGAATGTCTTTGATTGCCCTCACCTGGCGTGCGCTGTAGCGGTCGTAGTGCTCGAAACCAATTGGCTAAATTGTATTATGGCCGTCTTCTAGGGCATCAATTCGGTTAACACAGTGACAGTAAAGCCAACACAGACTGTCTTATCCCATTAGCTGACCAGCATCCCTCTTCCTTCTCTCTTGGTGCTTAAACTATCAAGGCTACCTTCATTACAGGACAAAAAGTCTAGTTGCATGCTTGTTGTCCTGACGTGTCACGTTTAATTGTAACTAAGTGAGTTTACGTTGATTCTTAATCCCAGCACTTCGACGTAGTAAGTTTTAATACGAAAGTGCTCTATGCTATTACACAGTCTTAATTTAATGAGATTATACGCGCTACCTCCCAGTGTTGTAATCAATCCCTATTGGCGTCTATCTGGGAGATCACTGGTTTAGTGGACTCCTGTGCCTACTGAACGCCGTTGTTGGCTTACGAAGCTCTGAGCTGATACCCAGAGGGGTTTACTTAGTTTTACTACTCTTTTCCCAGGACGCAGATGCCGCCAATTGGCCGTTATTCGAAGATGAAGACACAAGGTTATTCTACGAAAGCTTACAGGATATTCGAGCTATGATTCCTGGGGTAGGTGCATCCATTCTCCTACACATTCGCGTAATGTAGTCGTTTGAATTATTCAGTGCCGAACCGAAGTACATTGTGGTTGATTTTAGTTTATTTTTTTCCGAACTGCGTTCAATCAACTAGAATCACAAGGTGTCGGTTTCTTTTTAACAAAACTTAACATTAGTGTTTCAGCTCTAAAAGAACGCCATACTGAATTTGATTTCAGTCTTATGCTACCGACTGTTTTCTCAGACCGTTCAAGCAAACACCATTGGCGCTTTTCTTTTCTAGATTTTGTACAAAGAAAGTGAACAGGCTACCGTAAAACCGATTGAATCAACTAAAGACGAACCTTCGCAAGCCAATGAAGCTTCCAATGAAGGTGTGTGCCCACATTCTCGCTTGTTACTTAACGTGATTAGATTATTCCCCTACCTTTTGCATATTTTTGTCACACCAATTCCCATGTAGGTGTGAGGGCTTTTGGTGCGTCTCCAATCGCTTTGGTTTTCCGTTATCGCTTTTGTTGAACTGCTGAATGTTCAATGAAATCCAGAAATTATTTGTTTCGGGAATAATAGTGTGATTTATATCCATGTGATCCTGTCACTCATTCAATGAATTCCTAACAGCATCTGATTTATGTTGGTATACGTGGTTCTGTGTCGTCGTTGTTTATTAGAATATTTACTTTCGGCATATAGTAACTTTCACTCTAATTGTTAACCACTTTCTAAATTACGAGCTTAGCCTGCGTTATACTAATGCACTTTAGTTCAAGGTGTTAATCCAAGGCCAGAGAAAAGAAGATTTATGGAATCGCTTGCTTGTAACCGCCGAACGCATTCAGCGTTCAGTCAATCAAAGAAATTGCGTACAACATAAGAGATCGTAGTTTTCAATATTAGCTAAATACGGCATTATTGCTTGTCGCGCGATTCGCAGCTTCGGTGCCTTAATTGCTAGATTTGAACGCCGCCAAAAATCATTGAAAATGGGAAAGGAGTGACCCAACAACGAAACAGTCCCTCCCCGTCAAAAGCGGTGACGCGTTTATTTCGGAAATAACAGCGCCTTCATTCAGTTTTTACTCACCCTTCAAGTTTTCCCGTCTTTTCCTGATAACTGCAAGCTTGGTTATCTTGTGATCTTACAAAAGTGTTATTTGTTCTACGTAACACCTACCGGACTCAGAGATGTCAAAACCAAAAACACATGCGTTTTTTCACCTTAATTAATTTGTCGCTGTTTTGGACAGTTACAAAGTTTTAATCAAGTCTACTTAATATGGACGAATAGGCGAATCCCACGCCAATAGATCAGTTCTTTGGGCCGTTCTTAAGCCCCTGTGAGATCACGTATATTTTGCTGTGCTTTTGTCGGTGCAGAACTTGACGTCGAGAAGGTCGAAAGTGAATTGGCCGCAGAGGAGCAGGCCCAGTTAGAGGAGACGGAGGAGATAACCTGTCCAACGAGTCTGGAGACCGGCCAGGAGGGCGGCGGCGGCGGCGGAGCAGCTGGAAGTGCTAGTGCTTCTTCCAGTCAAAAATCTCAGGACAAGTCCTCAGCTGAACCACGTGCGCTCTTCTTTTTCCTCTATTTCGTTTCCTGCATGATTTTAAAATTTGCTGGATTTGGTGAATGCACGCGTTCACCAATTCGGTGGTTTGACATTGTTACCGGATTAATATTTAAAATCGTTCTCTTGGTGATTCCTTTTTCGGCATTGTAAATATGTCTGATAGTAGCACATACCTGCGTTGTCAGGCATGAATGTTAGCTTAAGCGGTCGTTTGGCAATTTTGTTGCACCAAACGCTCAGGTCTCAGACGCGTCGCGCCTACATACATGTCTCTTATTGGTAGTCACATTTAAGTAATATATGTTTAATTTTTTTCTAACCCAGGGGAAGAAGAGGGTCCAGCAAGTGCCAAGATGATGATGGACACCTTCATAACCCAACTACCCAACTGTGTTAATCGTGATCTCATTGACCGAGTATGTTTATCGTTGTTTCTTGTGACTATTTAATGCCCAGTCGTTTATATGTAATAACACCTGTTATTCTAATTTTCTGGATTACGCCTCAGAGGATGCATTTTTTTTTCAAATACCAACTCATTGGACCTGCTTTCTATTCGTTCGGTCTGTATTTGTGTTTTAGCGGCGTCATTTACCCACCATCTTTACAAACTTCATGCCCCTCTTTCTTTAGCCGTCAATTTTACGGCCTTCGCTCTCTCACCAGACATTGCTGAAAGTATAGACAATCGTGTTCTGTAGCAACTATTGCGTGGTTGAGTCAGTGATTATAGCTCCTGATTGCACCAGTGGCTCTACGCTGTGGTAGCCTGCGACCACATTTGCCTCTAATTGGGGATGGACGTGGTGGTCTGCTTCTGCGCTGGCATTCCATTAAAGTATTGTCGTTCCTCCTCTTCAGGCTGCTTATGACTTCTGTCTAAATTTAAACAAAAAACCAAACCGCCGGCGTCTAGCCTCCACCCTGGCCTCGGTTTCACGCACCCGGTATGACTTGTTGCCGTTCTACGCCCGTTTCGTTGCGACCCTCAGTCCCGTGATGCCTGATCTGAGTCAAGACCTCAACAATGTGCTTCTCCACGAATTTCGGTGGCACCTGCACAAAAAGGACCAGGTTAATTTGGAGTCAAAATTAAAGACTGTCCGCTTTATCGGTAGGTCGCCAATTTTTTGGTCATATTTCGCTTAGTCAAATCATTGTTTCCCGCTAACACGAATGATTTCCTTGTTGATAGCTGATTAGATTCGTTACAGTCTTGCGTCGCTAAAATTATTGCGATTCAAGTTTTGCTAAGTGTTAGCTTTTCACTCTCAAGTCTTGAAGCCTGCTCAACCGATAGGAATTTATGATCAAGTTAAGCAACCTTGATGGCTATCTTTTTTTAATCGGCACGGAATTAATGAATCTTGTTTTTAATGTAGGTGAGCTCGTTAAATTCCGTATCTTTCCTGCGGATGAAGCGCTGAATTGTCTGAAACGACTTCTTCCCAACTTTGTGCACCACCAAATCGACATGGCTTGCGGTTTGTTGGACACGTGTGGCCGCTTCCTCTATCGCTCGCCGGCCTCGCATCAACGCACCAAGATATACCTTGAGATCATGATGCGCAAGAAGAACGCCATGCACATGGACTCACGCTACTCCACGATGATCGAAAACACCTTCTTCTTCTGTGATCCACCGAAAAATGCCACAAACGTAAGTTGCACCGTCTCCTCCACACTCTCACCCCTCTGATACACCCGGTTTGGCGTTCGGTAGTCATTTAGTCCCCCAATGCTCCTAAGCAACCCGACGGAATTATGATTTTCTCAAATTAGCACCCAATTGCGCCCACACCCAGATGTAGTGCATTGTTTTGCTCGTTTCCGAGTTTAAACCACCTTACTTAATGAAAATATCCCATAATGTTATAGTTCGGCCAGATTGAACTAACTCCTCTGCAGCGTTTCCTGAGACAACTCATTTGGCGCGATCTTAACCGAAATTCTGTGAACTCAATCCTCAAGATTTTCAGGAAAATTGACTGGACCGACACAGCGGTAAGTGCGATTGCTGCTGCTCCTAAGGTATGCTCTATTTGTGTTGATCGAGGGTGATTCTGTTTACGTAAGGTGCCAGTGAAGAATGTTCTCGTTTATTGTGACGTGCGCATTCCGTTTCCTCCTTGTCACTTTCACCACCTGGAGCTTTTATTTTGACACATTAGGTGGTTGTAAGACAATCACAGCCCCTGTGCGAAGCAACTGTCTACGGTTTCTTGCCAGATAGCTTATTTCCATGAGTTCATTTGAAGCGATGCGTTGAACCTCCATCCACATACGAGACTAATGTTGTGAATCGTGTCTATTCAACCCCTTAATCCGATCGCTCCGCCTCCGAAACAGGGATCCCCTTTCTCGCAGCATGGTGCCAGCCGCGCGAATCCTCAACTCCCCCTTCATTAACACGAATATTTATCTTAGATTATTCCCACACACAGGTCTCGATGTTAGCGCCGTGATGGCTCACACATCCGAGCTATAAATGCACACGCGCAAACCCCACAGACCACCACGGCTTCGTCAAGTTCTCGAATAAACTCTTGACTCGCTGTCCTTCCACCGACTTCATCTTTGTAGGGTAACTAGTGCTATTTGGCGTCTCAACACTAACGGCGCTCTTCACGTGCGGCACTTGGGTATCGTTGCTGTAGCTTGGGTGGTTATCGAAACGTAATTTCAGTAATATTGTGCAAATTGTTTTGCTGTGAATGTATTTTTTGGTTTCTTTTAGTTAGTTTCGTTTGTTGAGGATCTTTTCACGAACGGATGGCAAGTTCGGTTTCAGTACATTGGCTGCCTTGCGAGCGTCCTCTCGGGTCTTTCGACTTATCACAAGGACTTCACCACTGCCGTTGTTGATAACATCATTGAATCCGTTCGAGTTGGCATGGAGGTACGTCTTCTTCTTTGTTTTATTCAACACCAACCACCAATTCACGGCGATTTCGGTAAAAGTTATTATCTTTTCTTTTTGGTGATACTTCTGATGCTGTGATTGTAATTGACTGTTTTGTACTGGTGAGGAGGGGTCAAATATTTGCTGAAGCCCATCCGTTGGCTGCAGTGTTGACGCATCCTTAATTCAACCATTAAACCGTATCGTCTTTTGTAGGCAAGTTGCTATTGCCTAGGGTCCAATTTCCGGTAGAACAGTGCTGCCTTGACCAAAATACTCTTTTATGTATATTCTGTTATTTTTAACCCTGAGAATGGTAACACTTTCGTGGGCGTGTCCATATATATATTGTTTTATTTGTGTCTCGTAGTTCATCTAATTAGTTAGGATAGTTTTGAGTCTGGACACTCTTGACATAGCAATTGGATACACGCTTCCTGAATTTGGGTATCTTGGTGTAATTTACGGTGTCGAAATAGCAACGCCTGCTTTAAGAGTGATTTCTTTCGAAATTTTTTATTGACCAAGTTAGTGGACAACTTTTTGGGTATTCGTACATTGTCAGAAAAAAAAACTAATCGCACAAGTCGAAATTGGGGTTGTATCAGGTCACGACAAAATTTTCGTCGTGCTTTTTCTTACGCATTTTCCTAAAGAGCATTGCGACACAAACCTGTTTTCACTATCTTGCCTCCGTTTCTTTAGTTAAACCTTCAAACCATGAATCAACGCAGGTTAAGCATGGTCAAGTATCTTGGATTGTTGTACAACTACAAACTTGTGGAGTCACCAGTCATATTCGCAACGCTCTACTCTCTGATTACGTTCGGAGTTAGTTTGGATTGTGAGTTCTCGTTTATACTTTCTCTTCGTGCAGCTAACTTGTTAGCATTGTTTTCAAAAGGTAAAGCTGGTGTCGCCGAATGCCCCTAACCGATTTATTACTCCTCTTTTAATTGTTAGTTGACAGGAGAGAAGTTTTTGCCTTGCTAAGCAGTCACCATTGTTACTGCTACTCCTCTTTTTTCCAGACCTGAACCCAAGCCTAATCGATCCGCCAACTTCACTGACGCGAATTCCACTGGTGTGCACTCTACTGGAGACTTGTGGATCCTACTTCGACCGGGGGCATCGTCGCAAGAAGCTCAACATTTTCGTCGTTTATTTCCAAGTAATTAAAAGCGACTTGAGCTGTCGTCATTAGAGCTGTGTTTAGTGCCAGTGTGAACAGTTTTCTGTCACCAGCCCAAACCCGGCGTCACATGTCGGCGTTTCGTAATCTATCAAGCGTGTTATTACTATTTGCGTAGTAGTGTTAACTCACTGACCACCATTGCGCGAAACTTCTTAAAAAAGCATATTTTTACGCTTTCTTGGCTATCAGGTGTTCTGCCCAGAACTTTGTGAAAATACTGCAAATTCAGTTTATCGCAAGCGTCTTTTTTTATATTCAGCTAAAGTCAAACTGTGTTAGTAATAATGTGTGTGTGTGTGTGTTTGTGAGCGGAGTTCTAGCAGCAGATTTCTCAGCGAATACAGTTAATTCGAATGGTCAACTTACAAGACGACCCCTGATATCTCGTTGCTAATTTAGATGTCGATTAAGGTCACCTAGTTACCTGTCCTATATGGCTAGACGCTTTCTGGTAGCCACGTGAAAAATAGACAACAAAAAGTGTCACCCAGTAATCGGACTTAAATTTTACCAGGAATTCTGTCCACTTGGCGTTGTAATCTTCACTTGATCGGAAGGATTCTTCAATTCACCAATGAATTGAATTTCTCATTAAGGTTACTATTCCGTTTGGTTTCCGTTGCACAACCATTGCGTAACCCCGTTGCTCTTTCTTAGCGTTACTACTGGTCCAAGCGAATGCACCCCATATTCATCCCTCCGAAATCCGTCACTGCAAGTAGTGAAACGAACAAAAACGTGGAAGAAAAGGCGGAGCAACCCACCCTCGGTGACGGTGACGAAACTACCACGGTCGATCGGGTAGAAATAGAGCAGTTTGAGCAGATACCCTTTCCCGACGCTGTGGAACAGCAGTTCGAGGAGACTCTTCGTCACTTGCACATGAAGCCCTCGGCAATCAAAAATCTGGCGGAGGCTGAAAAGTTGGTCGAAAATGTTGAAAGGCGGTATGCCCAGCGCCTGACTCACCTGTTGGAAGCCTATGGAATGCGTTCACCGAAGGTCGCCGGTTCGACCGTGAGAAATGGCTCAGCTCTTGGCGGAACCTCGGGCACAATGGAGGCCATCGCCGAGGAAGGTGAGGCGCTTTATCCTTTTGTCGAGTCTACCACGCCCATCTCCACATTTTTATTTATAACTTGAGTCAATTATTTGCGGCTTATGTTCATTCTATGCTTAGGTCTGTTAAATTAACCGCCTTCGTACTGCAACCCTTGGGGTTTAAAGACGGACTCGTAAATATTATTGTGTGGCCGAATTAGTTTTTTTCACTGTCAATTCCTCTCATAGTTTACTGCTTAGTGGAATCCGACTTGTTTGAAGATGGTAAGTCGCAGTCCGGATGTGTGCTAAGTCCCTTTAATTTTTTTCCAGACGACCTAAAACTGGATGATGACGATGAGTACTCGGGCGATGAAGACGAGTTCTTTGCGGGTGACGAGGAGTTAGAAAATGGAGGTTCTACTGAGGGACCGAAAAGAGGCGCCTCAGCAAAGACCAGACAGCGTGGCGGTGGGGTATGCTGTTTACGTCGCTATTCGAAATGCAACTAAAATAATTTGCTGAACAATATAAAGACGTCAACCTCTAGATATATTTCCACTGCTCACCTGCTTGAACAATTACTTTATTTATCTAACTTCTGTTATGCCTATGCTTCTTTACATGTATTCCTCTTCACAGACCAACGGTAACGAATCCGAGGGTTCCAGCGAAACCGAGGGTGATGATGATGATGATACTGTTACGCTAGCTGCAGACGATGACTTCGAAGATGGCGGTGGTGAAAGCGGTGAGGAGGACGAGGTGGAGGGTGCGGAAGATGAGGACGAAGAGGACCAAAAGGAGGCGAATGACGACGAGGAGGAGGATGAGTTGGTGCGTCTGGGTTTACGACCCAAGTACATCAAGTGCCCTGAGGATGACGAATTCGTGGCCACATTGGAAAAGTTGACCGCCGAGGCCATGCTGTCGACGGCCGGTGCCGCTAGCACCGTGGCGCCCTCCACAACCCTGCCCTCTATCGACAGTCTTGGTGTGGGTGCCGCTGCCGCCCGACAGGCTGTCGCTCGGAGTGCTGCCGCGCAAACCCAGTCGGCTGCGGAGAGTATTATTGCCACGCTCGGGTCTAAAAACCCGCATACAGTGTCCCCCAATGAAGATGATGAAAACAAGGTACTTCACACCCACCACACGCTGTTCCTTTTCTCTTGCATTCAACTAATTTTAACGAGCAGTGCGTCTGGGGTGCTCCTAAGGGTAATTGTGGTTAAATATGCGTACGGTAGTGTTTATTAATGTGTGCGATTATTAGTTATCAAGACGAGTAGCCGTTGCAGCAAAAGATTTGCTCTGGCATGACAGACAAGTCAACGCTACCGAATACGAACTTGCGCAGTTGTTTTGCATTTCACACGGCACATAGGTGCTTACTCTGGTTTTCTCGGACGACACGATGTTTTTGAAGGTCACGTTTCAATTTAACGGATTACCATGACCGGAAGTAAGTTTTCCAAGCTGTGGGGTCCATTTCACTCTCAATAACAGCGTTGCCTTCTCACTCACACCCGTCCACAGTAGATACCGCCTTTCTCTATGTTTCGGCATCTCTTCTATTTAGCCAGTTGGCATCGCCCTTTCTGTCTTGTCCCAGTGATTTTGTCCTTGTTAGTACTAGCTCCTAGGAAGAAATTCAGTAGTACCCATAGTCTAAAATCATGTTTTTTTCTTCACTCTAGGCTGATGTGACGCGACCAAGCACCTCTGTTGTGCCATTCAGCCTTGTGGTGCGTAGGCCTGCCGCCGGTGGGAGTGGCGGTGGCGGCACCCGGTCACGCCTGGTGCCCCTAGCGGTACCGCAGAGTGTGCCGTTCGCCGCTCGGCGGATTCGTATGGAGGCCGAGGAACGAGAGGAAAAGGCCCGCCTGAAGGAGCGCGTTCTTGAGATGCACAAGGCCCAGAAAGAAGCCGATGAAACTAGTATGTTCTTAGTGATGCGAAGTGGCACAGTGAGAAGTTGGATGCCCTGTGCCTTTATGCGGGCAGAACGGTGCACTTTAGCTTCAAATGCCTTTTCAATAGTGGTTCTCACTCACTAAAAACCAACATGATGCACACAAAATCTATTTCTTTAAATTAAACTTTGGGGGATAAATATAGTGCATTAGTTCCATGTTTTCTGATTTTTACTAGGATCAAAAAAATCCTTGATGTGGGCACCTTTTGCACCCTTTCAGATTACCTCAATCCGGCTCTCTTCCATCAAATACCTTCGAATGTGAATCGAGATCGGTGGGTTAAATATAATCACCCAAAAGGGGCTCCGGATGCCGAAGCCGTTTTCGGATCGTCGAGGTAAGCTCCATAGAAACATCGAATGTCATCAATTGTCTGGTCTTAGTCTCTTCAGATCGAATGCATTATGAGGAGCGTGCCTGCATTGATAGGGCTTGTATTCGGCAATGGTGGAAGTTCTTACTTGCCCGTCATCCGTGTCCGGTAGCTCTGATTTCTTGGCCTGTCATTGATGAGAAAACAGTTTTCCTGGCGATTTGACTTTGAAATTCTCAACTGGGCTAAAGATGTTTTTATTGTTGGTTTGACCGTTGAACTGTAACCACGTGTGTGGGTAATTGAGAGCTTTAAGTTTTCTTAGTGGACACAAGTTGCACTGTGTCCTGACAACCTTTGTCACGCTCAAATGCTGGTCGACTTATTTAAATACTTGACTCTCATGGTAGGTTCTCAAGTTGTCATCATTCTTTATTTCCAGCTAATAGCCTTCTCTTGCTGCCCTAATCGCCTTATTCGGACGGAACTGCAAAACTTACCTTGCAGTTACTTGCAACTGTTCCCCTATACATTAAGGCAACGGGAGCGCATGCTACCTGTCACAGTCCGTTGTATTTAGCGACGTAATACAGGAACCACGTCTCACGACACACATTTGGTTTCTTCCACAACCAAAAAAGGAATGAACCGCGAGTTCTTCCACGTCTAGCTGCCTCATTGTTTTCAGAATTCGGGAATGTATGTGGCACGAAATTACACGGCAAAAAGGGCCTATAAACACCGCGGACGTCGGTTCTAGCTTTTTGGGTGCAATGTTTTGTTGAGGCATTAAGTTCGTATTAAGACTATGTTTTGAACCACGACCCATCAGCTGATTAAATCTGAATCCTTTTTGGTTGTTCTAGTGCATCCATTCCACCACCGCCGCAATTTGTGAATTACCGAAATCTGCGCCGATGACCAGTCCATGAGGCCACGGGAAAGAGTGTGTGCGTGATAAGAAGGATTAATACCTTTCTTTGTGTTTCAAATATCCTACCCTCGAATACGTGATGATGGCGGGACGACGGGAATGGCCAATACGCAGCTGATTGCGTTCACATGAAGACACCGCGATACCGTAGAACACGTGGTTTTCACACGACAGTGGTCTTTCCCCCGCCTTTTCCTACCCCACCCCTCCAACTTATCTGGGCTGGTGCTGCAGTTGTGCTTTATCCGCTTTATTACCCATCCATTTTACAACATGTCTTGCATAATCGACTGCATTCTGATTTTACGAGGGGAATTGACAACTTGTCTTACAGGCCATAGACACTCACCGGCTTTTCATACTGATAGACATAATTCAAACGCAATGGTAAACAAAGTGTTTTATTGAAGAGTCATTTTATAAGTTCGGATGAAAGTAGTGCGCATAAAGGGGGCAGGACGTGGTGGTCACGAGGGGAACTTTTCAGGGCGCATACAAAGTCTCACGTCGTCAGGAATTAGCTCAGCCGCTCTTTCCCGCATTGGACGATAAGCACAAGTAATTGTGGCTTCAGCGCAGCCGGCCACGTCGCCGATTTCTGAAGCATTTAAAGGAAATTCCACTTGAGGAAGAAGTACTGGGAGAATCCATACTTTAAAGTGATGCAACAACACAGTATCAGTGTTGGGCGCCACGCGTGTTGAATTTCGACCAATGGACAGGGATCTGCCTGAAATTCCGTTTAGTTTAGGCTTAAATACTTAGGGGGTATGTTCAAACTAATGTGTTTGTATTAATGCAAAGTAGCGAGAAATTGTTTGTCGTGGGCCTCGGCATGTGGTCTCTAACCACACCGAGGTCACTGAGTTGAATCTGGCCCGATTTCGCTCTCCTCTTACCCACAATGACAAAGAGACCGGTGAGGACATGGACACAACCGCTGACATGAGTTTAATCAAGTTGATGACGTGTGTGGCGTTTGCAAGTGTGTAAAGTACCGCAAGTCATAGGTAACTGTTATCACCAGTTGTGATAATTCAGGACAATCGTTCGCACTAACGAGATGTGAATGGAATTCCAGCTTGATTTACAGCATGCTGTGAAAAGAGGGAAAGTGTCGGCGAATGGAGTGACCAAATTAAAAATGTGAATCAACATGACTTACAATAGGCTGATTCGGCCACGTGAAACCGTACCTGAGGATGACACAGGTAGGCACATTTCGTCAAAAGGTTCTTATCGTCCCACTTAGCCTCAGTTATACCGTTTGTGAATATGGATTATTGTATTACAAGACGAAACGTGGGCGCATACGCTTGTTAGATGATATTTAGAAAAGAGAACGGGTACCCGGGCTTACCTTTCTTTTCTTTACGGCACCCCAGTGCCCAGGCAGCCATATATATAGCGGCTGCGGCAACCGACACAGGACTTCGCCCAGAGACCAAGTTTAGATTCAGAGCCCGGCGAGCAACAGTATTAGCCAATTGCTGTACGGCGATATCCAGATTGAGGTTGGCACAGAAACGCGACATAAAATCTTCCACGGAAACTGAGGCAACGTTGGTTTCAAGGGTTTTAACGATCTTTTTGAACACCTTGCCTATGTCCTTTTTGGAGACTCGAGTCACAGCACAAACCTCTGCAAAAAATCTCTACAGGTTTACCATTTTAATTAAGGCGGGTTACTCTCAAGGTAATTTTAAATTTGCAAACCTTTAAATGTCCTAGGCACGCCCTCTTGGCGACAAGCCATGTACAAGCAAGCCGTCGAAACTGCATCATTACTTCGACCGCGGAGGTTTCTGGTCTCATACACCTGCTTGAAGAGTAGGTTCGCATGATCCTAAATACAGAATGAGGGCACGAAGTGCCTTTGGGTTCATGTATTAACATTTTTAAGGCATGATTGCACTTTGACGATGCAATTTAGAGGAATTGTAGAGGCATATTACTTTACAACCCATCAATAAATAGTCATGTGCAAAGGCCAACAACATGGAGCAGATAAAGCAGTTATGTAGTTTCTCAGTCGTGATAGTTGTTCAAAAATGCAAGTCTTGCCGACAAAAGCACACAGACTATTCAAAGAAAGCGGCAAGACTAGATGGAGTGAAGGACGTTTACTAGTATAAAATAAGCAATAATTGAGGAAGGAAAATTGGGATAAAGATCTTCAAACCAAGTTGTCCTAGGTGTTTAATTTTGAAACAAAATCCGATCTTTTAAGATATAAATTAATATACAGTGGTATTCATCCCGAATTATCAATAAATGTTACTCTAAATTCATACCAACATGTGACTCTAGCATATGAAAACCTACTTGCCATGAGTCAATGGGTAAATAAGGTGGCAGAAAAATATGCACCTATAAATGAAATCCGAGGTCGAATTCTATAATATATGTGCAATCGACGAAACGTCGAATAAACTAACCGAGATGCTTTTTGGAAGATTTAATCGTTCTGCCATTTGGCTTATTTCCTTGAATGCTGTTATGAGCGCTCTATCAGATCCAGACACATTACGACGATTTCGGTAAAGAGGTCGACCCTGCTCGTCCAGTTGACGCGAATCAGAGTAGGAGGCACCACTTATCATAGTTGATAAATCGCCACCGTTAAAAAGTGGATTCTCCGCTGCTCCGACTCGGGACATATCCTTCGCATTTGCGTCATTTGAAAATGTACGCCACTCAGATCCCACATCTATAACCCTCTCAGCAACAACAAGACCACACATAGAGCACACCATATCACCAGCATGTGAATCTTCTATTAGAACGGCATATGGATGGTACTTGCATTCGAGTTTACTCCTAGAAAGGCCTGAAAAGCCCGAAACGGAGACCTACATGTCCAAGCAATTCGGCGGGTGAAGCGAAGTAAGAGATTGGCGCAGACATATTAGATCAGGTTTGATCAACCAATCAGTGTGCGCGTTTAAAGGACCTTTGTGAAAGAACTGCAGCCAATTAGAGACAGGGAAGGATAATGATATCTTTATAAAAACATTTGACACAATATCAAACGCATATATTGTCATTTATCCATAAAATGGCCATAGTTAGAACCTGGTAAGCGTACAGTATTGTCTTTTAACAAAAATAGCAATAAAAAAAGCCTTTTGATTTTTGTTTTTATCTGATTATAAACAGTACTTCATTTAAAAAGTACGAAATTAAGCTTAATAACATCTTTTCCATTCCTTTTAAGACAATCATGAATTTACTTTCAGTTTTCATTTACTCTCATCTTTTAATGGCAAACTGACGTGTGTAAAGCGTTTTTGTCTAAAGGAAACTAACACCAAAAAATTGCATTCACAAAGATATGGTCAATAACTCTTTGCAATAAAATTCGCTTCAACTATAGAGAAACTAAGGTTATGCGCTTACAATTGCTGGGCTTTAGGCAGAAGATAAAAAATAGTGCAGTCTAAAAAAAAATAATACGCAAACATCAAAATCTAGTATCGATATATTTCTGCGTTCCAATTACAACTGCGAAAAATTTAAAAAGTCAGTAATTTTTGCTACATGTTGTCTTGCTTTTTAATGAAATCATAACGTCGTTTGTCTAAAGCTAGTATATACAGGAAAAACGACAGATCAGTAAATTTAAAAAAATTAGTCTGCGCAATAGTAGCAACTATGTACATATACCTGCAGGATTTTTACTAAAGTTACGGGTATCACAGATTTATTACCAATGAAATAAAAGTGTCAAATGTGGCAACATTTCAAATGCAAATTAATCAAATCAGCTTTCAAAGATGTGAACATTAGTTAGAGAAAAAACTTGCAGAAGCCTTTTAACCCTTTTTTTTAATGCATCGAATCATCATGAACATCTTAACTTGTGTAACATAAAAATTTGACACTTGTTTACAACTTGCAACGATTAATTTACGATTTAGCGTCGCAAGTTTTACACATTGACCAAATTCAGAAATAAAAAGTATCCTAAAATATTCGTATGATTTCGGCGCTATTCAGCGAACTAGAACAAAGAATATAACAAAAAGGGTAATATGTTTTAATAAAGCTACTGAACCTGTTTCGGAAATTTTGAAAATTAAGAATAGTCTGATATTTCGATTAAACATTTACGCGTATTCTCCTAGCGTCTATACCCAAAAAATGCTGAAAACATTGGCTTGAACTTAGACTACTTTTTTTAACTCTGAGTTTATATTAATTTCTCACCAGGAAATTAAATGCGGGTTATGAAATCGCTCTCTTGTCAATTTTACAATTTTGCAAACTGTTGAAATAAAACCAGCATGTAATGTTCATTGCGTTCAATCTGTTTTTTTTAATAAGTTTTTGTTTATAAAAACAGGGATTAGAAGACTGCGAATTTGTTAGGTGATGGGTATAAAAGTAAAGGCTCTAGAGATTGTGTCATGGAATTAAATAATATACATTGGTGAATTCGACCATTAACCACTGTTTTGCCACTGTTTAAGCTGTAAATAAGCACAATCAAAAGAAAAACAATTTAGAATGTTATATAGTCTAATTTTTTTTAACCTGTAAAGTCAGTTTAACTAAAAATTGAATAGAAAATATTATCCGTAGACTAAATTACAATTTTTTGTAGTCTTTTGTAATCCTAAAAATAATTTTTTTTGTGTTTTTAAAGGTATTTGTAAACAAATATTAGAGGCGAGTATGTTTCAATGGAGACTTAAGCAGAATTAGTTTGATTAAATTTCTGCTTCCGAAAGCGCCAATCATAAGGGGCGGCGGATATTTGATTTGGTTGTTCCTGATTTTGAGGGGGATGAAGCTTACATTTGCTCTTCATGATGGAAGAATTTTCTCCCTAGATGCCCCTTCAGATACACTTATGACAAATATTCGCCTTATGGTTGCTATAGAAGCTGGAGTGCCAGACAAAAATGTGATTTTAATGAAAAACGAGCAAGCACTGACTATTCATCCACTCAATACAGTACAGGATTGTGGACTAGGTGAAAATGATCTCATTTGGGTCCAGATTAATAACTTACAACCTCCTCATTCGGAATCGCCTTTAAGTGTAAGATATTTTTTGGCAACATGTTTAGAATATCGGTTCCCTCTTGCCAGGATCTTCTAACGCTGGTCAATTTTCCTCCTCCATACATAACGACTTCAGCATTCCAGATTTAGCTGAAGCGGCACGACAACACTTCCTCCGTGCCTCTGAAGCACAACGGCATTTGCTAAGACAGAGGAATAAACCTCTTTATGATGCTCTCAATGATCAAGGTTATGTCGTTTATATGTTTTTTTTTGCTGCTATCATCCTTGTTTCCCATCCTATTATTGGCCTTTGCATTCGTATTTTTTAGTTAGCGAGTTTACAAATCGTAATGTTTTAGTATAGACTTCTTGTTGAGATGCCATATTTTTAAAATACACCTAAGCATTCGTTTTTTTATTTCAGCTGCATTTAGACGAATATTCGACGCACAAAGAAATGCGTCTCGTCAGGCAGCTATAGAGCTGGAGTTGTCTGATCCTTTAAATCCTGCTGCACAGAAACGAATCGCTGAACTCATTCAGTAATTCACTTACCCTTTCTGAGTTTATTTGATGATTTTTATCTCTTTGATTCACTACTTATGTTTTGCTATAATAATGACTCATAACCATACTTTTTCAGCTATTTTGGCAGATTTTATCGACTAAACACAGTAATCTTATTTCCATTACGTCGGTTGCGATTTATGTACATTTTAGGCAGCGTGGTTTTTTTATTGGAAATCGGTGTATCTAGTGCTTGGAATTTCGATGTTTTTCCTAGTTTTGATAGCTTGGTCAAGATTGGTACGCTTGAAACAATTGCCTTTTCCCAGCATTTGCGGTTTCCTTTTTGGATCCTGCCACTGAATCAGTGATTTAGGCATTCGTGCTTTTAGTGTACAAAGGATTAACTGGCATCTGGACTATTTAATTTCTGTATATTATATCTACTTTTCATCGAGGCATTATCCGTGAGAATAATACGTTGCATACCTTCTGATTCATGGCTGATTTTGCTTATTATATATTTGATTTGTACATGATGCTTTGAGGAAAAAGAATTCATTTTTATCGCGAAGTCGGACCTCACCTGAGTCATGTTTATCTGATCAAACGATACATTCTCACCTCTCTACGCCCTAAAAAATTTAAAATAAGTTCTTTGTTATTGATTAGGTGAAAATTATTCTTTTTATTCTCCCTATCTGGATCTCGAATAGACACATATGCGTCCATATGATAGTCGCAACATGTTTGTGAATAGTTTTCGGTAGCGCCTAAATGTCCTTGGCCTTTTTTCCTGAGTATTTAATCATGCGATTTCCTCAAATGATATAGGCAAAAAAATATTGATAATGAAATGGAGGCAGCGATGGAGTATTATCCGGAAACGTTCGGCCAGGTGACTATGTTATACGTGGCCTGTGAGGTGAACGGCTTTCCCATCAAGGCCTTTGTGGACTCTGGTGCTCAAACGACTTTAATGAGCCTTCAATGTGCTCGTAACTGCAATCTGGAACACTTGATCGATAAGCGTTGGTCTGGAATGGCTTATGGTATTGGTACGCAGAAAATAATTGGCCGGATTCACCAAGCACAGCTCAAGCTTAATGGCACAGCTATTCCGGTATTTCTCTCTTAAATCATTTTGTATTTCTTTAAGCGTAAATAGCCATGTAACTGCACCACTCCAGTTTCTTCGTTGTTTAAATGTCGTTTCATGTAAGGCGTTAACTGTATTAACAAATCAACCTGTTTATCTGGTTGTACAGTTTTTTTCTCGAGATATGGATGAATTCTCATCACTTTCTTGCAAATTACGAAAATTATTTCATTGGTAGCCCAATATTAAGACCTAGAGGTGCAAACATCTAAAAGTGGAACACATTACTTGCAATGTTCTGCCGTCCGTTTTAATATTGTATGATTTTGAATGAACGAGGTACCGTTGTGTTGTGACAATGACGCTAAATGGCCCATTTTAGGAAACGGCTGGTCTACTGTATGCAATATTATATTGCTTAGAAAAATAACTTTGCGAAACTTGAATTCGGCACCTTTATTGATATCTTATTCAACTACTGGGCTCCCTAAAATCAACATACATAAGAGCATAACGCTTTGTACTTCAATGAGGCTTAATGCTTTTTGCGCTTCACTAAAAGCCGTTCTCTTGAAAGGTGTGCACACGAATATATCAAATTTAAGGGCTGCTAGTTCTTGCACCCACAGATAGCGATGAAGTTCACATGACTTACTTGTCTCTACTATTTCCCCTAAGTCCTCGTTTGTCGTGTTGGAGGATCAGCAAATGGACCTCATGATTGGCCTAGATATGCTGAAACGACACAAGTGCTGTATTAATCTGGCAGAGAACGTGCTGACGGTTGGGGAGCACACGTCCGTCCCATTTCTTCCTGAGGCTGAGCTACCGGCTTTCGCCAAAATTCCAGTTGGCGCAAGCAACTCTGAGCTGAATTCCTTCGTTTCAGAACCCCCCGACGTTAGTGCAAGTTCACTGTGTTTGTTTATTTCGCTTTGGTTCGTTTTAGGTCCTAGTATGGACTTATACGTCTTTTGTTGTTTTAGCGTCTGCAGGTTAATGCAATTGTTTGGTTAGTTGGGCATGTGACCTGGTGGTTTTATGTGTCTTCTGCACTGAACACCTATTCTTTTGAATGTTAATTTCGAACTGCATGGTCCTTGGGTTGAAATAACCGTCAGGGCCTGAGAGTTCATGCGAATCGTAGTGCTGGTGCAAGTCATTCAAACTTGTCCGTATTTCCCTGAGACTTTGTTTATCAGAATCGGTTAAACCTAGAGAATATTCAAGTTCATTTTCTGACTGCGTTATAATTTTCAACATGTTGGGGTTAATTATTTTGGATTAGTATTCAAAGATGAAACTAATCATTGTTTGGAGCTGGTATATTGATAATTATGCAAAAAATTGTTCAAAGCAGTAGGTGAATTAGTTTAACAAAAGTTAACCTAGGACCACCACCCGAAACAGGTTAGTAGCAAGACTAACATCCTTGGATCAGTTGCTTCAAATTTCAAGCGGTTTTCGGCATTCAGGTTTTGGTGTCGTTAAGGGTTCTACTCGGCTGTATTAAGACACGGCGGAGTCTGAACAGTTTACTAGATGAATATACGTGCTAATTCAAATCTGTAGATCTGCTTGTTGTCTGCCGGTAATGCCTGTCGGTGTGAACTTATAGTTATTTCTAAACACAGCTGTTAAGATAGTCAGAATAGAAAGATTTTTTGACATTTAATTTATAAACAAGTAGTTGATGAAAGAAACAAATCGGACATAATCTACTTGCAAACAACGTTTTTTTAATACTTGTTTATTTCCCACTGGTAAAGCATTTTTGTACAACTTTTAACATAATCGGTAAACCCCTTTTCTGTGTTCGTTGATGATGAATTATAGCAGGTATTAAACATTATCTTTGTCATCTGTCACTTGAGATTATGGAATGTCATGGTTTTCAAATCTCGTCAATTTGGATCAAGCGTTCCTTATATTTGCTTTTTTTTGCCTAATAACCACTGGTGGTGTTTGGCAGGCATATTTGTGCGTCGGTCATTTGTTTAGGTTAGATGCAAATTGTTTCCTTTGTTTCGTCCATCCTAGGCTCTAACAGAAGAGCAGCTCTCAAAGGTTGATCTACTAACAAGTCAAAGCGTTCCACGAGACCGTGCAATAGCTCTACTTAAGGCCACCAACTGGGACGCTGATATGGCTCTTGTGCAATACATGAGCAGTCTTCCCTAGGAAACAAAGGGCCTTCGTCACTTCCGACGCCTTGGTTTTTTATGCCCTTTTTTGCTCACTTAACAACCAAAACGGTGTGATGTACCATTCCTTTTGTGTAACTTTTCGGTTTTTTAGTGGAATGAAAAAAAAGTCCTGATAAAGAATGGAGATTTGTTATACCTTGTCCTGCCATGTTTCTACAAATATATGTGAGCCAGTGGTTATCATAAGCCCAGGGATCGTTACTTGCACTCACGTGTGTAATGTGGTTGTTCCTTTCGTGGATCATGATATGGTTTCAAAGGAGATATTTCTGTGTCGAGAAGTGTTAGCTTGGAAGGAAGTAGTATGGTGGGGTTCTCCACCTTCCAAATTGGCGGAAAACAATACCTTTAAATGAAAAATACGAGAATTGTGTAAATTCGTCTTAGACCAAGTGCTCTCAGTTTTAGTTCACAGCCAATCGTTGGAACTCTGATCATAAATGCAATGTGGTTGAACCGTAAGGTATCTTACGTGGGTTAAGCCTGTACATAAAATTATGGGTGTCAATGCCCAATCAAAATTCAATGTTTACTGATACTAACCGCCCTGTTATCCGCTTACAAACTTGCATGGCGCAGAGCTAATAAACAGGTGCGGCCGTTGTCGCTATTCTCGGGTTGTCACAAGCTGATACTTAGTAGGGTTGTAAAGTAATTCAAGCAAACCACCACAATTCTATTGCAAAATAGACTATTCTATTTTCTTGTTGAAAATGCTTGATTGGTGAGTTGAACACCACTGAAGACAACGGTGTCAAAACAAGTGAAAATAATCACTTTTATATGATAGCTGGTAAAAAATTTTGAAATTTGTTGATGGGTGCTTCAAAACGATTGTTCACGTTCAAAGTATATTATTGGAAAATTTTGAAATCTCTCAAATTTTCAGAAACTAAAGTCGGTATTTTAATCACAGGGTTTACAAAGCGAAATATGCTTGAGCGTGTGTGTTTCACTTGTTGTGTTTACACCAGTAGCGTTTGACTAATAACAGTCATTAGAATATATAAACCTCGAGACTTGTTTGACGATCAGAATTACGGTATTGACAGTGTTTTAAACTCTGAATACTTAAGCAAATTATAAGCAATAGTGACATGGATTATAATGTAAGCATATTCTGTCAGTTTCTTCGAATAAAGAATTTACATTTTCGGCATTTGGCCACTTAGGATATTAATGACAGCAACTTCAATTGTAACGCGGCTACCGAGCGGGGACTTAAATAGGGAGATGACCGTTAGCCCGTCCTTCTTAGATAGCCACACCATCATGGTTAGCTACCAGTCACACGATAAAAGAATAGCTGGAAGAACCGGATGTATTCCATACTACCGCATACAAACTCAGAGGGCAGGAGCTTTGGGAGAGTTAAAGTGGGAAAAGAGATGGTCACGAGGAGGGTTGGCGTTGCCCTCGGACTCACGGGCGTGCCTTGAGGAAGGCGAGAGTGCGGGAAGGGAGAGGAGGACAAAGAACAGGCCAGATCGGCGTGCGTGTGTCGAATGGCGCGCGTCACACAATTTACAGTCAAAAATGCGTTTGAAGTTTAATAACTCTTAATTAAAACAATGAAATTGCAATGAATTCTGTGTGAAACAACTAAGAAGTGTATAATAATTTCGTACCGTAGATTATGTATAATTACTGCATGCATAAACTGGGAATCAATGGTAGGACTGGGCGCATTCTCACATTTCGTGATCGACTCGAAGATGTTTCTCTTGACATAAATAATTAAGCAAAGGATTGTCTTCTATAAATCAAACCTTTTTTGCAACAAAATATTAGTATGTGCAACAAACCAAACTTTTCTACAGTCTCATTTATAAATGAAGAATGTGTGCTGCGTTCCTTCACATACTATCGATGATATTTCATCGTGCTTCATATTTCTACTTGGGTAGTTCACTAGACTTAGCCTTACTTTTGCACAGTATAACCCAGTTTATCATTAGAATGGGAATCGACAAAAATAAGTTGGATTATTACTACAGGCTCATAAATGGAACAATCCTTTCACTGCAGGTTTTTAATAATGTAGGCAATGCATATTATGCTTTAGGATACGGTTACCGGGCTTATTCCTGCTTCACTGTCAAATTCGCACGCTTGGATAAGAGATAATGTGTACATGTCATTCTCGATCTGGGGCCTTTCACTAGCATACCGCAAGGTACCAGATGTAGATGAGGATCGGTCTCGAGGATATGAATTGGAAAAGGTATCTTGGGTGCATATATACAAGGCATTTAGTGTGTGGTTAATTTGATGAGAGGAATTTTGAAGTGTTACATGTACCAATCAGAAAAGGTGGAAAACTTCAAAAAAACCCAACTTCCCTGTTCGTCTTTACATGCGAAATTCGATTCTCGGACTTGTAAGGCCGTAGTTGGGGACTTTGAATGGGGCCATCTTCAAATCGATGCCGTTTCTTTGTATCTTCTTGCTCTCGCTCAAATGACGGCTTCAGGTAAGTTTTAACACTAGTTACTCTGATATGTAACTTTAGGACTTCGTATAATATGGACTGTTGATGAAGTTGCATTTATTCAAAATCTTGTTTTCTATATCGAACCGGCCTCAAGAATTCCGGTAACTTGTATTTGTTTTATACATATGTGCCTTAGGATTATGGTATTTGGGAACGTGGTGATAAAACCAATCATGGTCTTCCTGAACTGAATTCCAGCTCCGTGGGACTTGCCAAAGTAAGAACTCGAGCTTATGATGGTATTGTTTTCGAAGGCAGCTTTAGAATCTTTGAATGGTCTGGATCTTTTCGGTCCTCAAGGTGGTGTGAGCTCCACAATTCACTGTCTCATGGATGAAAGCCAGAAATGTAACACTGTCCTAGAAAATATGCTTCCAAGGGAGTCCTACTCTAAGGAAACTGATGCAGCTCTTCTGGGAATCATCAGTTATCCAGGTTTCGCTGTCGCAGACGAAGCAATAATCGAGCAGACACGCAACACCATTTTGTCAAAACTTCTTGGCAGGTATGATTTATCGGAACACTTTCGCCTTACTAAATCTTACTTTAGCTATGGCTGCATTCGTTTTCTTCGTGATGGTTATAAAACTGCGAGAGAGGACCCAAGTAGATTACATTACGAACCTTGGGAACTCCGCATTTTCGATGGTATTGAATGTCAGTGGCCCCTATTTTTTACCTATCTTGTTCTGGGCGCATGTTTTGACGGGAACTTTGAGCTCGCTAAAAAGTACATGGACCAATTAGAGCAAATAGTGCTGCGCCGAGTAAGTTGTTTCCAATCTGAAATATGAAATAATGGAAATTCTTCCGTGCACTTTAGGTCAATGCCTGTTGGTTTATCGCCGTACTGTTTAGCACAATTTATTAGTTAAACTAAGATGCTTATTTTATATTCTCCTGACCAAAAAATTTTTCATTTTTTTAACTTCCCAATTTTAACTTCGTCCTGCTTCAATGCTCAATTTTCGATCACAATGTCTCCAATGTTTTAGAAAATCCCTCGTGATACATGGGATGGTCCTTTGTTGCGGCTTGGTAACTCCAAACCCGCTGAAATCGTTGATGACGTGCTTTACCCCATAATGCCAGGGCTCTACTCTCTTCCTGCCGATAAAATTGATGCCGAAATTATGGCGCCTAATTCACAAGTTCGCATCCCCATCGGTTCTGCTCCACATCTCTGGGGACAATCCATGTACATCCTTGCAAGCCTCATTATGGATGGACTGCTTTTACCCGGTGAAATCGACCCTCTTGGTCGTCGTATGGTAAGAATCACCTCATTTGTCTCAGTGACCTGATCTCAAACTTCCATTCACAATAATCAATACCTTGTAGGCTGCCGAACCGAAACCAGACTTGGTTGTGCAGGTAGTCGTTATGGCAGAGGATGAAATTGTTAAGGAACGTCTTGCAGAGTATAAACTTGATGTCCAGACTCCAGCTGAGGTGTACCGTGATTCCTGCATTCAGATATACCCAGCTAAAGTTCTCCTACAAATCTACAACCAACTTGGTAGGTGTTCGAGTAATTTTTTTTATCCACATTGTGTGTATCTAATCGGCATGATTCCTAATATTATTTATATATATTTACCTTGAAATACTTTGTTAATTTTTTGTGATTATTGATAATCCTCTGGTTTTCGAATTTATTGTAATCACCGTTGAAGGTGTAGTGTTAGTCTTGGGTAATTCGATATGTAATATAATTATTATTTTTAAGTTTGTTATTGAATTCTTATTAAACAAAGCCTGAACAAGTTCATTTATATGCGGACTTATATATTGCTGCTTAAATAATGTCCAAGTTGGTCAATGGTCGAAAATCGCATTTCGCATAGAATTTATAAAGTTGATAACTGATATTAAATAAGGATTTTGAATCCGGAAATTGTAAGTCCTGCGGATTTACCAATTATTGGCATTTAGTGTATTGACAAAAAACAATTTCGAATTTTTCGAATCGTTATTTTTGTAGGTCTTATTTTTCTCCTTGATTTTGGTTAGGAGTTAATTATAACTTCCTTTAGAGGCAGATACGTGGAATCCATTTTATGCAACTTTTCGCGTGTGATCATTATCAACCCAGAATTTACAAGATCGCACAGTGGCTAATAAGTCGATTTAGTAGGTGGATGTCTGTCTATGCAACCTACATTGACGACCCTCAAACCAGTTTATGAATGTAGACTTATAAATAAAGAATTTTGCTTCACCTGATTGATGTTACCTTTCAGGTGAACAAAATATTAAAGAACACATTTTTAAAAGTCTAACTCGTCCATATATTCATTTGTTTTTACCTATTCGCTCCGGATTTCTTACAAAGAACTAAATTTGGTCTTTGCACACTTGCACCTAAAGCCTCCCAAGTTGTCCCAATAAGGCTAGGCGTGTCTGTGTAAGCGTCTCGCGTTGTTGCTACCCTCACAATTTCGTGTTCACTTGCGTCCTTTTGTCGGTGTACAAGTGGAATGATTGAGATTTTGCGTGTTTAATCGAGGTGTTTGCCCCAAACTCGGTCTTACCGGAAGGACAGCCAAGGATATTGGTGTAATAGCAACAAGCTCTCTTTACAGAATCGGCAATTCAACAATGGCCTTCACTCCACAGGTAACTTATCTGTTTATTTACTTGAATTAATCACAATTTTCGCTGTATTCACTGTAGTAAACAACTCCACAGACTTAGTCAAAACACTTATTTGGAAATGTGCAATCCTTTATGAAGGGTCCCGATGACCAGAAATATTTGTCTTAGTTTATCCTCAAGTCAACACAACCACAGACTTCACAATTGTTCCCAGTTTTCGTTGTCCGGTGAGCATATGACTGGTTCTAGTCAACCTGAATTGTAAAATATCCACACTTATTGTGTTATTACCTGGTTACGGGGCTGTCCTCTGTAGTTGGCACTACGATAATCGTTACTGCCTCTTTGTGTTCCCGTGCATTCTGTGCGTCCCGGGCTGTTGGGTGCTAGAAAAGTTATCTCCTTGAGATGTTTCACCAGTTTTAAGTGCCGGTCCGCCTGGTAATCCTGTTCTGGTCGATTTAAACATCGATAGTCATCGGAAAAAGGACCAGCTTACAGAGGTCTTACAGTACCTAGATGCGATGTTTTTTCTTGTCATAATTTCAAATCAGTCTTTTCTGCCTGTCATTACACTTTTTACTAAATCCTCAAAGTTAATTGTCATGTTGCTTATTTTTTTTTTATAGATGCAGTACTTTGTAATTTAAAATATTTTCGTGGACGATAAGTGCTATGAAATAGCAAGTGGTAACATAAAACTAAAATGCGTCTCTCTTTCTCTGTCTGGTTTTCGTTGAGGCATCACCACAAAACCATCCCTTTTGTTACTACAACAAGCTGAACAATTGTCCAACTTGTTTTCTAATCATCATGTCAAACTTGCGGAATCGAGGCCTCATTTTGATAACTGCGTCGGAAGCTTACCTTCAAAGTCCTGTTGTTTATCACCTCGCCATCGTTGTAATGTCACTCATCACGGTTGTGCGAATTCGCATAACCACTGTTCACAAGTGGATGTCGTTGGTCATCGTGCCAAGCTGTTGATTAGTTTCTTCTACCGACTCGTCCACTAATGCGAAAATTCAGAGTCCCATGCCTCGTGCCTCCAATGTATTCCTCTTCGCTCGAGTTTGAATCCACTAAATTTGCTTTTCTCAAAACCCTGCTTCTGACTGGTGTTGCTTTCCCAAGTTTATCGACAGCCACTCCTTCTATGTGAACCTCGACGTCAACTTCATCCTCGACGAGTTTCGAGCCAACGTCGCCTTCTTGAGACGCGTCTGGGCCTCGCCTGGCCGACCCACCCTTCTTCTTCCCGTTGCAGAGAGATTCGTTCGATCAGGTAGCTCCTCTGATGGTGGTGGTCTTTATTCACTGCGTGTTAGTCGTGCCTCATCGCAGACTTTTTTTACCCAGAAATCCTTTACCTCTCAGCAAATAAATTGGCTGAGACAAAAATGTCCCAATGTTGTAGGTTATGCTCATGAAAGGCTTCCTCGTAAAATCTCATCGAGTTAGAAAACCCTTTACCTTGTTTTTCTTGCACCCGCATTCTTATCCACTTGGGGTCGGAATGTTTGTAGTCTTGATTCGTCTCGGTGTAATCAGTAGACCCTGGCTGATCATGAGGGCCTTCTGTACCTGCCAATCGACTGATCTTTTGGGCCTATTCATGTCGCATCGTCTTTAGGGTCACGCTTCCTAATTCTTTTTATCTATTGTATTTATATACTGCGTTCTCTTTACTTTCTACACTTTATCGAGCGGTGTGTTGGTGTTCTCGTTGGCTTAGTTAGTTTTTCTTAACGGAATTGGGTTTCGTGAGTCAGAGAGTAGGTTAGTTTTATGAAAAACCACACCTATGTAACAGTGGCAAAGTGTTTACTTGTCTTGCCTTACTTTTTGTCTTTAAGTAGTTTCTGTGTTGGCTAGAGCTGCCAGACAGGCTTATTGTCGCGCCACAGGCCTGGGTTTTCAGTTGAATGATAAAAGGCCGCTTAACAGGACCACACCTTCCTCCTAGATTTGCCCTCGCATTTGCCCTGCGATGTGGCCGTGTCACCTCGGTACACCCTTGCCAACACCATCATCATGACTCACCTCGGATATCTTAGTTCACGCTTTTCTACCGCTGTATCAGTGTTCCACTTGTATCGCAGTCGATCTAACACAACAATCAAGGCAGTATAGTTGATCCTAATTAATTTGGTCTGCAAGTTGGCCATACTGGGAGCTAAAACCTGTCCAGACGTGTATTTCATGTTGGTGGCTCGGGTACATTTTTCCCTGTTGATGTGGATGACCTCCAGATTTGTAGGTACAGCATAGTTTTCAATTTACGTCCACCAAGCGCTGATTTCCGACCTGGCATAAGTACGCTTTTGTGGTTAATGCACTATAGCTGGGCACTAGTGTTCACAATCTCTGGTGTCGTCTGAATACGGGCTTTGATTGGTGGCTTCGGAATTTTACATTCCGGTTAAAAATAGAAGCTTACAGCACAAACGTAATTAGTCAAGTGACGGCGCACAAATGGTAAACATTTGGTTCAACACACACTCAGAACTCCAGATCGCTGTCTCTGAAAGTCTTTTCAACACTGAGCGTAGCAGATCGTGGGCTAGAGGCATAGTATTTCGCAGGGCACATTGAAAACGTCGTAGGGTGACCACAATTAAATACTTGCTTGATCAAAAGGCTTCCCTGTGTGTCTTAATGTCTTACCGTATCGGTTGGAGCGTATTGTGAAGGAAGTGTGTCCATTTAAGACATGCTGGGTAACCTGCAGGTTATGTGAACTACTTGTCTTTTGTGAAAACCAGGCAGCGTAGCGAACTGCAGTCACGTTCGCACCCTCCCAATCTCCCTTCTATCGAGGCCTCTATTTATAGTAATCATTGTAACCCCCCAAGTTTTCGTCTACTTTTGTTAGTTAGTAATGCTTATTGTTGTTCTCTTTGCACTTAGAATCCGATTCCCTTCTCCCGTCAATGGTGACCGTTATCAAGAAACTGAAGAGTGGTTACATCAATGGAACCCGGTAAGACTTCCACTTTAAGTCTTTTTTCGCTTTCCTTATTTGATTAGCATCGAAAGTAGTTTAGACGTATTCACCCATAGTACTAAATGCTTCAGCCAGCGCAAAATCGGTCATTTACCAGCGAGACCCGATAATGTATTTTGGGTGATCGAACATCATTTTTTATCCCGCCTGGGTTCCTTCTATATTACAAGATTCTAGGAAAAGCTTATGCCTTTCCATAGTTTCCCGTTTTTCGTAAATCAAAAGCTAGGTGTTTCCGAGCTAAAAAATAGATTTTGCAAGTCTATAAATTCAGTGTGCCAAATGGTAATCTGGTTTTTATGCTTTAATAGTGTTGCCAATTGGGTTCGCGCTGCTCGTTCCTGTTAAATCCATTGATGGGTATCACCAAGATTCCTTAACGCTTCGTCGATGAGTTAATTTAATGAACACTGAATATCCAATCTGTAGAATTTGCCTTTTTAAACGGAAATGGCGGTTTGTGGGACTGATTTTATCGTAAAATGACCCCATCAAATGCATTAAATCGATTATTAAATTGAAATTATAGGCTATTTTGATACGGTCTTAATCCTAAACTGTAGTTTTGATGTCAGTTTTGTTTTTTTAAACATTCATCCATTTTTCAGTTGGCAATTAACCATCTCATAATTTGAAAGGTGAGGTTCGGAAGGTTTCGTGGGCAAGGACTAAGGTCTTTTGACCATCCATAGTTACCTTTTGACATTACTTTACGATGGATTGAACAGTTTATTTCCCTTTGGGTTTTAGCGTCGTACTGGGCAATATGTCCCAATTTGAGGCGACATCGTGTGTTCAGAAGCTGTCCTTCATCAAGTCAGCTGGTAAGTATTATCAACCACTCTTCAATGTAGCATTTCCACTTGGTTCAATTTGACTTGGCGTCTCTTGATGTTGCTGTCGCACTGGTTACTGCACACACAGCTGTACTTCCATTTCAACCCAGACACCGTAATGAAGCGTCACTCAGTGCTGCGCTCGGGGTCGCAGCGTCTGCGCCGTCTGACCCCGTCGCCGGCCCACCCCCGCGGCGTGGAGTTCAGCTCCCCCGTGAGCGCGGGGGACCAGCAGTCGTGCTACTCCAGCCTTGCCTCCACCCCCACGGGCGCCGGCGGCCTCGTCTCGCCAGGCGGCGTCCACCTCTCCAACGGACGAATGCGCGAAGAACACGAGGGCATCCAGCGGACGAGTCTGCGTCGCAAATCCCTGGCTCTCGCTTGTGCCGTCTCTGTCGACTTGGCGGCAACTGACGACGACTCGCGTACGTACACTCGTGCATTTCACCTATCGCATTCCACTACCCTTCTTAATCGCCTAACTTGAAATATCAAAATGTCGTTACTGCTTTTCAAAGCATTGCGTGATTGCTAGTTCCTGGTGTCCATAGTATACGCCATGGGGACATGCTTCTCTAAGTAGTGTTTACCTAACACACGGTATTTCCTGTCTCCATTTTGGGCAGCACAAAACTTGCTTGAATACGTTTAAGTAGCAACGCTTCTCCTTCCTAATGAAACCAAATTTTTAAAACCTGTGTGTTTGTGATTCTTATTAAAGGATATAGTGTTTGTCATTTTTTTCAATAACCATTTTTTGGATCGCTAATGATAGCATGAATCTGTGTCGTAGCACCTAGAGAAAACTCAAACAAATTTATGCGTTTGTACAGTGAAATTGTTTTTCAAAAATATGCGGATACTTTAACTTCAAGTTGCTAAATTTGTGCTGATCGACGTTTGCGCATAAATTCGCATCATATCTTCGTCATTGCATGGCTTTCGCGCACTCAACACCGCGCTTTCGCAGGCAACCTGCTGCGCCAACAGGCACCTCACAGAAAGTCCTTTTTGCCGCAAGACGGCAACGGAGGTGGTGGTTGTGGTGGTCAGTCATTGGATCGTCGCCCACCGTCGCCGTGGTCAGTGTGCTGTTGTGAGGCACACAGGAGGTCGTGTGACCGGACTCGTGCCGCCGTGTCCAGACGCGTCTGCGAGCCCCGACCGGCCCTCACCTGTCCCTCCTGTGGCGGCCTGATGGGTCGCCGCGGGTCGATGGACCGAGTCAGTGGCGACGCCTCGCCGTTGCAGCCCTTGCGCCTTCAAACGGACCACTCGAGTTCGTTGGTGTTGCGAGGCCGCCATCTGCTTTGCAATCGGCTGCTTGTTGCTCGCTCTGCTTGCTGTCCGCTAACCTACGCTTTGGCGGTGTTTCCTCTTTGAACATAATCCAAGATATACGGAAAATGCCCATTTATTCCTGAAACGGCGTCAAACAGTTAAATTATGTGATACACGTTGGTTTTGAGTGATTTATCCATGACTTTAAAATTATCCCTCAAAGTGCAGCTCGTCTTGTTTTGTGGCAGAGTCCTCGACAAGGCTATGATCTTGCGTATTATCGCAACAACAAAAAAACTCGATACGTTTGATGTAACTGCATTCCAAGTAGCAAAAAGGCTTTTCGCTCTGTTTTTTTTACATTACATATTCACGCACGAATTCTATTCGCGTTAAATACATGACAGTCTGGAGTCAATAGCTCTATTATTGTAGCGCTTACTTGTTTATTTTAGCACCAGTCGAAGTTAGCGTCACTTCTGATTTCTGCTTTGTCATTTCGCCCCAACCACGGAGAATCTTAATTATATGGAACCTACGCTAAAGTCTTACCCTACAACTATCTTGTTCCAAACCACTCTACCCATACTTCTTTCCCATTCCCAGCATGTCCTAACCCTGCAACACTTCCACCAGTGGCAGTCTTTTGTTAATGCTTTTACGCGTGAGTTGTATCAACCTCGTTGATTGCTACACCCCCACCGTGGTGAGCGTTGCGCGATTTTAGAAGTTTTCTTGAACCCACCAGAAGTTTCTTTTGACTGAAGCTAATGTGGGTGTCGCCACAAAATGCCTCAACACCTTTTGGCAGTAGTGAATGTCGTCGTTGTTTGCGTAAATGGTTTGTTTGAGTGAAGTGATGTACCAAGAGTGTTGTGGAAATTACCTTTTCGGCTAGGCACCCGTTTTCTCTCTGCTGGGTGTGCGAATGTTTAGTGGTGACTTATTTCATTGTCTCTCCACGTTACTTGCTCAATTGTGTATCGGAACTTTTCAGAAGACATTGGCCAGGACGAAAAGGTGTATCTGATGCCTTGGCGCGAGCAGGACTCCAATTCGACTGAGAGACCTCCGACCGACGGTAATTTTTTGGTTGCACAATTGCCCTACGTTAGAAGATTGTACCTGACTTCCACCTACTCCACCTCCCATTTTGAGGCGCGCGTGCTTTTTTTACCTCAGCTCGTCGTAGCCCGGCAGTGGTGGTTTTTCTGGACTTGTACATCAGCATATCTCAAAATGCTCAGTTTATTTGTCAAGTATTCGAGCCAACTGGTTATTTTTGCTCACTTGCTATTTGCTTTATGTGATTGTTCAATTAGTGTCAAAGTGTCGGACACGCTTAAGACTTGATTGCAGTGCCTATGGTGGTAGATTTTCCGTCTTAAAGGACCCCCTGCCTGTCACTTTGGTTTTGTCACGATGGTAAACGAAATTCTGGCCCGCCACAGTCCCTCGTACACAGCACCCGATTTCCTACATCCCCCTATCTTGTTCAGACGGTCTAAACCTCCATCGACTGCGTGATGGCGAGCTGCCCAGCTCCTCCGACCACATCTACGAGCCGGCCTTCCGCCGCATCATGATGCGTCCCAAGGCCGGTGGTGACGAAGAGTGCGGCGGCAGCAGCGTCGAGACCCATCGCCCTGCGGACCCCCGAGTCTCCGCTTGGAGTAGTCAGCCACGCAAAACCTCCAGTGGCAGAAGCTCCCAGAGCGGGGCTTCGGCTGGAAGTCAGTATGCAGAAGCAACTGATGAATGGCTCTCTGAGTTGAACCCTGAACAATTGGTGGAGTACCTACAACAGACTGGAAACCTCGCCAAACAGGCGGAAATACTTGGCAGGCTGAAACAAATCAAGGGCTTGGATTGGGATACCGGGATTGACAGCGAGAACCCCGCTACTGTTAGGAGCCTTCTGAAGGAGGTATGTTCCCTAACGAATATGGTAGTGCATGTTGGACACGTCTCAATCGATGATTCCTGTTCGTATACCCAATTCCTGTACTATATCGCTAACTTTTGAATGTCAGGCACAACCGTTTGCTTCAGACCTCAACCACGTTAGTGTTGTTGTGTCGTGTGTGGGGTTCGCGCGTGTGTATTTATACCTCGGATGTGTGAATCATGCATGCTCTAACATCGAGACCCAGGTGTGGGGATAATCGAAGATAAATATCCGTGTGAATGAGGGGATGTTGAGGGTTCGCGCGGCTGGCTACATGCTGCGACAAGGGGAACCCTGTGTCGGAAGTGGAGCGACCGGATTAAGGGTGTGAATAAACACGATTCACAACAGTTCCTTTGGACCTTTCTCCCAAACCAACAGCCCACCAATCCGGTCCATTTTATAATCAAAGGTGTCTTAGATCGAGGATCGATGCTTAATTACTTAAAGAACCTTTAATTTGTCTTTCTGGTTTATGTTTTTGCCTCTGTTAAAATGTATTGTCTTTTCCACTAGGTGTATCAAAAGGCCTGTCAAAATCAAGACTGGTTCCTCCTTCGTTACATCGCCGGTCTACTGGAAAAAATTGCTGACCAACTGGCAACGGCTGTGTCGAGCATATTGATTTTGCAAAAGCAAATCACCGTGGGTCTCCCTCCGAAGCCCCGTGAAAAGGTTATCAGTGCCCCACTTCCGCCAGTGCAAATCGCTCAGCTCATCCAAGAAGCCTGTGGTGAGGACAATCTCATGGCGATGCTCACACAGGTATGGTTATCCCCCGTGTTATAACGCCTTCCTGTGTTGGTGTGCTCCCAAGCACCACCGCTAAGATCGTTTACGGTTTTCCGAAGACATAGCCTCCCTGTCTTACAGGAGATTCTGCTCCACCTCTCCATGTTCGCCCGTTCCCACCCAGCTCTACTGGCCAATGTTCTGCGGCTGCGAACTGGCCTGATCATAAAGCTGATGGGCACTGAGTTAGCTCGGTCCATGGAGAGCTCGGTGGAGGACGCCTTGCTTGCCCTATTCTACATGAGTCCCTACGAAACCAACTGTCTCCTCGCTAACCTCCTCTCTGGTAATGAAATCCGAGCAGTCAAGATCGGTAAGTGGCTCTCTGTCTCTCTCTCGACGGGCTACCGGCTCTACTGGCGGTTGGGTAGTTTTCGTGTTTTCGGCATCAGTAGGACGTTACCAGAGCAACACTGAGATGCGCGCTGTGGGCTTGCTGCCGAGTTTGCTATTTCCTGCCTGCTGTCCCTTCTGTTCTTACCTTCTCCTTTATCAGCGTCTAATGTCTATGTAAGATGCTGCTGTCTCTTTTACATAGATCGCCTCCAATCTGAGTTCTGCCTGTGGTTGAATGAGTGCATTTTATTTGTCACCGAAAGTCCTCTTATTGCTGTTTACAAACATTTGTTTATACTTGTCTTCTTCGCAAAGGCGTTGTTATGGCAAGCCATCACAGCTGAGTCCCGGCTTTCACCACTATTTAACTGCCAATCATTCCAGCTTTAAAACCTTTCATTTTGCAATTTTACCCTCTTGCCTTATGGTTGGTTTTTAACTAGTTGGCAAACTTTTCCGCTAAAAGGCCCTACTTTTGTGCTAATAGCGCTCAAAGCAAGCTAAATGCTTTTATGTGTGCACATGTGCGAAATTTGACATGCGCATGATGACCTCAAAGGCGTCAAATTGCGTGGAGGATGTGAATCCTCCACCCCCATTTGACATTCCACTCTAAGCGCGAGGTTACGAGTACTCAGCTAAACCATTATTGTTCCTGTAGACGAGATTCTAGGTAAGTTTTGAAATATCCGTCGAACCGCCGTCTCCTTTTCATCTTGTCGTAGTGTTATCGGAAATTCTTTGTGTATGTGTGTTTTTTGGCGATGTCTGTACGTTCGGATGAATACGCATACACACCACACACACACACATACGCTATGTTTGTAGAATCAAACATTTGCTTCAAGCTTTCTGTGTAAAATCACCCGTGTCAACAAGTTCCTCTTCAGCCGTCGAAGCTGCCTTCGCATTAAAGTGCGCTAAAGCTGTGGTTTAAGGCACAGAGCCGCTTCACGGCACTCTGGGTCACCATTATTACTTTCGCCAAGTTGTCCCCTTCAGTCTTTTAAGGTCTCCGCCTGGTAAGTAGTATTTGTCCAAAATTACAACACCTTTCTTCCATGAGCCGTGTGCAATTAATAGAAACGCTCCTCAGTGCTATTCAAAGCACCCGTCTAATTGCTCTACTGAGTTTCCACGACCTTTGAAAGCATCTCCTTTTGAACTCTTGCGTGTCTGTTTGGTGATTAGTGGGTAAGTGCCTTGAATAATTCGCATGCTTGGCAGAATCTGCAAACTAGGATGCCTGCGCGTTGTCGATACACTTGTATTGTATAGCCTCGTTCGCCCGTGACGTGGCATCTGTGTTGAAGTAAAGGGGAATCACCACATTAATTATTATTAGGGCGTTGGCGCTTATGTAGCCCGGGTTTGGTGTAATAGTAGTTTTATCCTCAAATTTCAGTCATTTTCCAGCTTTGTGGTCGTTTCAAAATTTCTTACTACTTGCGATGGTCATGTCGCGTTTACGGAAGCTAATGTCTCATTATCCACGTCTGAATAAGATAACGCAGTATACAGCGTGGCCGAAACGCAGCCGAGCTCCAATTGCCACCAAAAATTGCAAATCGGTGGAACAAAATCCTATTACCAATGAATGATTTCGCATCCACCTCGCGAATTGTTTCACATTTTGAAAATCTGCTGTTCGATTGTGTAATTAAATTTTGTTCCATTCCTTTGTAATTTTAAATAATAATAATAATGCTTCGGCTTAATCTGAGACATCCCGGTTTTTTGTGATTAGGCTGTTTTCGCAGTGGGGGGGGATGTAAGAGCCTGAAACAATTCCTGTCCACATGAGCGTTTGGCATGACACAAGAATAAAATTTGCCTGACCTTTTTATAGGAAATCAGATATCTCTAGCTGCGGGTAAGTTCACCTGGTAGCGGTGTGATCGTTAGCTGCCTTCCATATTCCTCAGCTCACCCCAATCACGTGGTTTTAATGAAGTGGATTTTGCCTCTGACTTACTACTGACCCTTTTTAGGCCGTATTACTGCCCTACATCGCGATGCTCTCTTTTTTTAGGCCTAATTTTGAATGTTGCACACTGCATGCCCTAAAGGTTTTAGAAGATTGAAGAACAGAAAAAAAAATTAACACTGTTGTAAGTATCACCGTTGGATATAAAATTCGCCTTGATTGTCACCTCTGCAGACACAACGGCGCGACTACGTGCTACTAAAACCACTAACTAAACTGCGTCTAGGCTAACGAGATAAAGCAGATGATTACGACTCCACTTCTCATCGTCCCAATGCTTTCGCCCTAACCTCTCACAAAGCATCAGCCGTGGGTAGCTCTTTTGCCCACCTTTGCCTCTCTTGTGTGCCTTTTGTTGTGTGGGACTCGATTTTTTGTGTTCCTGCGTACACATGTGAGAATGGCCTTTGTGCTTGCCGATTTGCCTGCTCACGTGCTTCCAAGTCCTCTGCCCTCTTGTAGCCCCTTATTTGTTGTCCTCATTTCAGCCACATCGCGCCGAAAATCGTCTGCAGTAAGTACCTTTTTTCCGTCTCTAGCCTCAGGTACATCTACGGTGGTGCCTTGTAGTGCATCACACTATTGAAAACAGCCATGTTATGGGATCCTAAGCACCGGTTAAAGTCGAGTAGAAATTCTTTGATTTCGACTGACTTTTGTCGTTGGTATCGTTGGCATTTACTGAATAATTTCAGTTTGTGTCTTGTACTGCGTATTTTTACGTCACCTATACAAGCATCAGGTACCGCAACTTTGGACTTAGGTCACAAAGAACGTAACCCTTTGTGAATTCCTCTATGATAGCAACCTTTAAAGCTTATTTGGTATATCAGTTGCATTTTCTCCTCTGCCTTCTCACTCAGCGTCGCGACTGGTACCTCCCTACCAGTACAGCCCGCAAAACCTGGTGAGTTGAAATGAATTGCGTGAAGCCCCACACTTAAGGTGGACCGTTTTTTGCAGTTTTTGAAGGTGGACTCGCCATGCGATGCCTCCTACCTTGTCTCCCCGGCAATCTCAATCCCTCAAAGTCCTTCGGGGACCACGAGGACATTTGCGATTCGTGCTCGGGCGGGTTCGATGGCCGTCACGGGTGTGAGCGAGCCCCCGACGGAGGTTCGTGACCTCTGGTCCCGTCGGCGCAAAATCGATGGCTCCCTCAACCGCGTGCCACCCCAGTTCTTCCAGTGCACTTACAGCATCCTCGAGAGGCTCCAGGGTCTGCGCATAGGCGAAAACACGCTCACCACCACGCTGACCAAAGAGGTTCGACTTATTTGACCTAGCATCTGCTGTGATCATCGTGTCTAACAAATACTGTCTGGTCCAATCTGAGCCTCTCAGTTCTTAGTTCATAAAATTGTCTCTGGAACAACTATGCCATGTAATTTCTTAAATACATGGCAATCCGCAAACTGAGTTGTCTAAATTATTTGTTAAATGCTGGGTTTAGTGCCGTTTCTGGTTCCTCGTTGTTTTTCTTGAAGCAAGGCTTGGGTTTTAAGTGCTTACTTCGGGTCCTTATTCAGCCAAAATACGAGAGAGGTATTTACTAAAGTTCGACCGGTCGTGATTTACAATATATCTGTTTGCAAGGGTTTAAGAAACCACTGTTTTTAAAATACTGCTACGTGCGCCTTGCGGGTTGGGTATTCAAGCCAAATAAAATTAATCAACATCTGAATTACTTCCTTCTATTTTCTCCAACCTTTGAAGATGACAAAGGAGGAACTGAAGTTTGCACTCGCGGTTGAGTCCTTCATAAACACGGTTCCCACACCCGAATACCGCCAACTTCTCGTTGAGGCAACCACAGTTCTCGGCGCCCTTGTCACCCACGACGACGATGCGCGCATCCAGCTCAATTGCATCGTCTCGCTCGACGACCTCGTGGCCAATGCAAACCGCTTATTTCTGGAGGACCAAGTTAGTGTCCATTAAACGCGTTTATTGCTTCCAGCTTAATGAAGAACTTTAAGTAATGTGTGCCTTGGCCATGAGAACCTCGCTCGCCCTTGATTTGTGTCTAGGCTATATCTGTACCTTGACTGTGCCCCAGAAAATTCTCAGCCGACGTGTAGCGTCAGCAGTCTACTGACCGCAGGACCGGTAATATGTATTGTACACTCAAATGTCACCAACAGGTGCTTTCCTTCAAATGTAGGCCGCATGTGGAGCCAACGCAACACTTTGCTGTGCCAGTGGGTTGGTGCCGGCCTCGAAGCGTTCACCGCCCTCGGAAGAGGTCCTAGCCACTACGCCGACAGAATCCAATCCCTCCGGTGTCGCCCGCAAGCTGGGCGTTTGCAACTACCAGGGCTCACACACCGCGCCGCCCCTGAAGTGCCGTGGATCGCATCGCATCTGCCACTACTTCTATGACACCCCTCCGGCGGGCCGTTTCGGTACCATGGCCTACATGGTGCGCGCCCTCTCCGTCCTCATTGGCGACTCCCTACCGGTGGGCAAATCCGGCAACATCGCGATCAACTGTTCCGTCACCTAGTTGACACACCCCACCCTCCAATCACGCACTTATACATAACCTCTAGGCTGTCTCATCCCCCCCCCCTAATTTAACGCCTCATTTCTCTTGTTTCTTTGCTCACTTTCACTGCTTACTAGTTTGCGTCATATTGATAGTGCATCAAATCAGTAAACTTAGACTGTCACCTGGCTAGCTTTTTCTACGCGAATGCTTTGACAACTTGTGGCACAGGTCCCAAACGCACCAGAAGCCCAACAAACTCTGATTAAGAAATAGTGACACTTTAAATAGTCATGACGCTATTAATCTGAGTAGGTATGTATACAATTGATAAAAAGATGTGCAAAATCATGTTAAAATAAGCAACGCAAAAGGAACGTGTGCGGGCGCCCTTATTGGTGGGAACGCGTGTTACACTTCTGACCATGACAACGAAAGACTGATATGTGAAATAGTGGATGCGAAGACTCGGTGTTGCCGCAGCACCACCTAGGATGTTGCCGCGGTGACGATGACGCGGTAGGGTCGCGGCGGACGGACCTCGGCCAGCCGTCGCGCCGGCAGGCCGGGCGGAGTAGCGATGTCGGCAGCGGTGCTGTTCGTCACGGTGACCCACGTGGCGATGTTTCCCTCCACGTAGACGTTGTCGTAAAAGTGACCGAGCAGCTCCGCGTCGGCCGAGGGCACGGCCTGCTTTGTGTTGCGAATAAACTCGCGTTTAGACATCTTGTTCTTTATCTGGGGACTGGCGAAGTCCTTGGACAACATCAGCAGAGAGAAGCAGAGGACGTAGACGACGTCTGAAGCAAAAGAGCATGGTAGCTAGGCTGTTACACCCTCCGTCTCTTTTAAGGCAAAATGTAGGGATTACGGTACGATTTCGCTGTTAAGTACAAAAGGCTACGACAGCATATGTGCATTATTTTCAATCCGCTAAGTGATTGACGCCGGCGCTCAGTCCAATATCTTTGCATGCTTATTAGGAGGCAGGAAATTAAGTTAAAGTATGGAACAGGAATTTCTGGTAGCCCCAATAGGATAGATGAATACGAATCTACATGACATGGATTTTTCCGATCCTGAATCAGGCTCAACTGTATGAAACCACTACAACCACATAATGGCGGTCACCATACGTATATGAAAAGCCTACTAATTTGCAAAGTAATTTCTACTTTGGGGAATTCGGTCAGACCCTAAAATGACCAGCACATTCATGGCCTATTCATCGAGTGAACGTCAGACATGACAAATGGCCAGTGAAAAACATCAATTACACTCAACTGAGGCCATAGTGGTCCAAGGTAATTTTGGACAAGCCGTACTCATGCCATCTAAGCAACTTGAGTGTGTGTTCTTATGTACACAAAAACGTGACTGCCCATAAAACATTTGCTCGATTCTGGCGTTGAAATTTGTCGACCAATCAACTCGCCCATAAAGCAATGTTCCTCTACATCTGTTACGGCCAACTTACGTAGATTGCACCAAACAACAAATTTTTAATCAGTGCTCTGACCTCTGCACTTGAAACAGAAAACTAGTGCACGTATAAGTCGCCACAAAATGTTCACCTGAATGGCCTGAAGCAGCTAGTAGATAGACTTTAAGGGCTAAATCAAAAAAGCTGACTTAATGATTTCACAATCGTTCCCTTCAGCACCAAGAATGCCCTGATTACGATAGCCCTAGAACACTTCTGTGGTGCTTAAAACGGTCCAATTCAATCGCACAAGCTTTGGTCCACGTTGCCCGTAATACGCCAAAACATGTTGTTCAAGACTACCTCCACTTCGATTAAACATATAAGTGCGGTCCCAAAGATAAGCAATTCGCCACATTCATTAAATATTGGATAGTCTGCAAATTCAGTGGAACTTCTCCCAATTCTGCACTATTACTGTGTACAGTTAAGCGAGCATTTCGCTGACAAACATCGGCATTTTGTCTAATACTAGATAACAGACCCAAGGGGACGGGTAGATAGTGGGGAAGTGAGGAGTAGCGTCAAAAACATGTGGTTTAAATTTCCAATGTTTCATTGGTCAAAATTAAAGAAATTGATGAAATTAGATCTTTTAAGATAGTCTCTGTAGGCAATTTGTGTCTGCTTTCAAATACGAATGTTACACAGAAAAAGTCAACAGACCGGAATTCGCCTTTAATCAATGGTGGGCGAATTTCCACTCATAGGTTGAAACGCTTCTATGTGGACAAAAGGCACCCAACATCGATGCGAAACTCGAGAAACGTCTCAACCGGAAAAAAACCGGCTACTATGGGACAAGCGCTAGAGCCCGGAAACAAGCTAACCTGGCCGGAGTCCAATGTGGGGGTTGCACCGAACGAAGTGCTCAGAGAATCGCTCGACCAGGCGTGGGATGAAGTTATGCGTGTCATTCTCTGGGCTGGGAAGTTCGGTAAAGAGCCTACGCAGAGCATCTGGAAGGAAGGCCTTGCGAAAGTCCTTCAGACGAAGCACTTGATCCAGAACATCTTGCCTGGGCAAAAATAAACAGTGAAATTGAGAATACATGTTAAAATATTGTTCGTAGATAAGCTTTTTTTAAGTCATGTTATCCGGTACAATCATCCAAAGTTTAAACTTTTAAGTTACAGAAAGCAAAAGCCCAAAATCTAATTGGGAAATTGTTGCATATGATTATCACGTGTTCTAGTTATACTTATGTCACGTAGCTACTTTCACAAAGTACAAAATTCAAGCCATAAACATCAGCTGACAATAAGAACGAAAACGTGTGACCCCAAGTTATAATGTTCCTAAACGAACGATTACCATCATTACCAACATTTTTAGAAAGGACTTTTAGATTCGGGTGATAATAAGTTTGACATCGACGCTTACACATTACAAAGGAGCGAGGTAGAAATTATCTAATTGCAGAGTGTTACCTGGATTCAAGAAATCGTCTCTTCTGCACAGGATCCAGTCCAGGTGTGACGTGAAGATACATTGCCAAATGATAAGCATCATCAACGAGTATCCCATTTTCAAGAAGGTAACGAACCCCCTCGAAAGAATCACTATTGAATGTCAACCTGGCTTCGTCAAGCCGGAGAAAAAGAATGCGGAAGGAGAAATTTGGCGTCTCTTGCCAAGTGTCATAAACAGAACAGAATGGCCAATAGGCGCGACACAATCTGCAAATTTTGGGAAAAATACCAAACCACAGTTTTTTGGGATCAACGCATTCAGGCATTCATATATACAAGATCTAAACGCAACCAAGACTCAAGCTCAAAAGCAATCTACAGTGTGTGTGGTTTTCAGCTCTCACTAAAATTAAAAATCAAAGAACCACAAAGTAAATGTCATCCGGGTTTATGCCGACCACTACAACCCATGAAATAGGCGTTTAATGACCACGAATGCGAGAGGACACAGGCTGTATAATAATGTCTCCTACCGACCGGTTAGGGTCTTTATTTGAACCTGGTACTCTTACCCCCGCCAAAGGACTTCATTTGAGGCTAGGTTCCACCAAACGCCGGAGGCCAAGTAGAGGTCTGTTGGGTTTAAGTGTGATAAGATAGCAAGGCCCAACTCGGTCGGCAGATCAACCAAGTCAAAATACTTTTCATGGGAGTCCTCTAAAAAATTATTCCAAACTTTGATACCAACCTGTGTTTTCATTACTGTTGCGCCAAGAAGATGGAATTAAGGCTACCAAATGCGTTTGGTACCGTTGTGGGATGGCCACGGCCAACTTATCGACGGGTACGGCCGATAGAAGTTGGCCCATTCAAATCCTAGAATAGTAAAAACTGGATACAGATATAATGAAATGTTAGGTTAGTTCAGACAATACACTACAAAAAACTGTAGATACAAACAATAAAAAATGTTAGACAAAGAACAAAACGGGGTGGGCCTTACAGGTATTCAGCAGCTGTCTGAACAAGCGACACACACAAAAGACTAGGAATACCTCCAAGTCTTTTAAAGATAGTAGTCTATATCGTCAAAAATGAAAGTGGTCTAGTAAGCAAGTAGTTAGATGCTTATAGTATAGTCGTAAAAAAACCCGACAATCACCAGGGAAGTAAGAGCCTACAAGGCATATCTGAAACATTATCGACGTGGAAATTGTATAGCTGCGTGGAAAAGTACTACTTGACCTGTAGAACAGCTCAAAAAATAAATTTTGAACTCCAGCATTCGCGAAAATCAAAGATACTCATGTATCACACAGTTCTAGGACCGCTAAATAAGAATTAACATGGCATGATTTGTACAAATCACCAGGAAAATTTACTTGACAAAAAGACATAGTGACACTGAGCAAGAAAAACATTATAATTTAAACTTAAAATTAAAGGCGGTTTGTAACTAGCTTATAAAAACGCAACAAACTGCATACCAATGCAAAAATTACAGGAGCGACAACTGACGTCCAAGGAAATGCTAGATTGGCTTATTAATGCCCGATTGAAAAGTAGGTTCATTTGATTGACCTCATTTGCCATCATCACCAACATCTAATTTGGGGAACCATGAAAAACACTTTAGGGTAAATTCATGGTGCAATGCTTCATTTAAATCAAAATCATCAAAACTACAGCGCAATTAATGCAAATATTTTTTAATGAGATCGTGTATTATATGAAAAATGCACTATTTCTATTTGAATATACAATGTAGATTGAACGAGAATTGTTCCTAGTTTTGTGCGAGCATTGTATAGAAATACAGATTTATTAAGTAGTATGCATTAATTGCGATCGCCAATTTATATTTTAAGAATAATTTAAGTTTTCCTGTCTGTAGCAGTCCAGCGACCATCAATGACAATTTCATGAAGAATACATGTGAGCAGATGGTTAATGTTTCATTTTGTATTTTTAATTTTTGATAACCATGTTATGTTTTGTGAGTTACCTGTTTGTAGCTTAAAACTAATTAATGCCTATCCTAACCTTTCTCTTTTTCCAGTTCAATAATTTTTTTGAAATGCTTGATAAAAATTGGGGTTTTGAATGATTTAATACAGGCAAATGTTTTGTATTTCGTATTAGAAGACTTCGGTTAATATAGTGATTAACAGACCCCATTTAAAAAGACATTGGTGACATTATTAATTTTTACAGAACACTTCGATGATCAATTTTTGTGGATACAGCTGAAAGGGTGCATAAACAGCATTTGTTATAAAAAAAAACTGGGTCGTGCTCCTTAAAAATTGGATGAAAAGTTTCCCATAATATTTGGGTGCCGAAACATGTTTTACTAATCTCTGTTTTCGGTAGCAGTTAGGCTGGACTGGACCCGCAAATATGGAAAAAAATGGATAGTATTATTATATGTACAGTGTTCATTCCTAGGACCCATATTAGTTCAACCTGAAATTGCTCAGATAAATAATATAAGAAATAAGTAATTTCTAGTTTGTCCTGTCTTCAGCCTATCTTTTCGAATGAAGCCTTAAGAAATTCTACAAAACGGTAGACCTTTCTTACGGTTTTTTTCAGGAAATTGTGATGTATGATATAATGCGTTGACTAAAATAAGTCATCATTGCTGTTTACCATACGACGGATTAATTGGGTGCCCTTAATAGGCAGGAAAAAGAGCTCTCTCTAGTAGCTGATCAACTGATTCGTGCAAAATTTCACTTTAATTCGTGCGTTTGGTATGCAGTTAAATGATGACCCAATGCTAAGAGATTTCCCAGATATTGTCTCTCTGACTGCGAAATTGGCGAATTCCGACTGCTTAGTTTCATCATTTTTCACTATCGGAGATGCCATGAAATGAAAACTACACAACAAACGAAAGAATGATTAAGAAAAAATTGCTCTTTTGGTACAACAAATCAATGAAAATTCAGTTTATTTTAAAATATCCCTTAAGAGATAATTTGAATGTATCAGTGTTGAAAAGATTGGATCCTAGGAAAAGTGGGTTAATTGTAGTAACTATGTACCTTAGTGTTAATTCATATCCCGAATACCCTAAGAAGTAATTCAACTGTTAACAGTTTTAGTTGATGTAAGGTTTTTCAGCATCTGTTTCGTGACTGGCCACACTTTATATTTCCTAAATTTTATTCGGCACATTTATCAGTTTAACTTGTTTACTTACAATTTTGTAAGAGCACAGTGCATTTTCCTCTAGGTTTCATAAAACCAAAGAGGCTTACATGCGAATACCGGAGTATCTCAGTTGAGGTAACTGTATCAAAGATGGCTGGGTCCGAAACTAAAATATTTTGTTTTATGAAATTGTTCATTAAAATTACTTACTGTAAAAAGCTGGTTAGCTGTGTATTCACATGACTTCGAATTTCACAAGAATCATTGAATTTCATTAAAGGGCCAAATTCATGTCATGCAAATTTTTTACCTTTAAAAGGGGCTTTTATAAACACGAATTTCTGACCATGCCGCCTTATTGACCGGCTGATGTGGATAGCAGCCTTTTTATGCAAGGCAAACATCTATTTGACTTCTTTTATTGGTTGCACAAATGCCACTTAAGACTAGATCCTCCTTTTTTTTAAAAAAATGCATCACTCAAGTGGCCAACTGACATTGCACTTAACGTCTTGATTTATTGGAACTAGAAAATACAGAGTTTTAGCCTATAAATGATAAATTAAGCGACGCAGTCTCTAAATGACCATGTCTGGCCATCCACTGATGACCATTGTTTATCCAATCAATTGCTACCGCACCCGATACAACAGAAGCACAGATGGTGGCGAGATAACGGAGCCGAGCTGAAGGCTGGTGCAGCAGAGAAACAAACCGCAAAAGACAGTGTTCTCAAAACCAGATGCGATAACCCTCCGCTGACTCCCTAGCCTGATGATATCAGATGGCGTGTTATTCTGTGAGGTGAACACGAGTAGCGATTATCTCCTCGTCATCTGCTTTGCCACTTCATGACTGCTCGCCTCTTCTTCTCTTTCCCCACCCCTATCGGCTTACTGTCTCGTTAGCAAAAGCGAATCTTTGCGAAAACCCACACTGGTGTTTAAAATTAGCAGCGAGGGTGCAACAGGCGGATACCATAAAACACACGAGAGGATTTTCAGCCAAACTATTGTAGCTTAGTTTGTACGTAAATCAAGCACCAATGTCAGCGCTTGTTAAACGCTCAAACACGCTTCATTTACTGTGTACTGTAATTAGATTGATTACATGTTATTGTATAATGGTGATCTATGTTTGACAAAGGTGGCTTCGACGTAAGACGATCGCAGCTCGAGACGCTCTGCACAAAAGGCCCTTACTGTGAGCCTCTCCTTCGCTACATTTCATGCTAGACCTCATTGAGATTGTCTGTGATTAAATGTTTGTAGTAAAGGATCCCAGTTGACCAATGTTATGAGGTCCAAGCTTAAGGGATCCGAGATCGAGAAATCAGTAGTTGAAAAATACGGAATCTCATCAAATGTCCGCCAATTTATTCATCATCAAAGTCGGTATTTCCAAAGGGAGTGTAATAAATGAAGCATTTTTTAGCTTCTTACTCTGAGAACCTTTTAGACATTTGAATAACAATTTAGTTACCATTTTAAAAACAACATTTTCCTGCTACAGCCTTGACGTGTATTACCATTGGACTTGCGTCTTCAGCACGGTGCATCTCAGACGTGAAAAGAGCTTAAACATTTGTATTTTGTAGGTTTGAAGCCCTTAAAAGCGCTCACACGAGTTTTTCCCATAATTATTCATTAATTAAAGCAAAATAATGCAAAAATAAAACATAAACGTAGTTTATAAACTAAATTAGGTGAAACTTACATCGTAAATATGAATCTGCTGCAAAAATTGGATGTCTATAAGATGTTTTAATCACACATTTTCACTATTTACCTGCTTATTCCCAATGAGGCAAATTCCTTTAACAAAGTTACCGCCTACACTGGCGCTGAACTTGGGCGCATAATCTTTAAATTTGGCTGAGTTCGAACCTATGCCGATCATTTAATTTGATTTGATTTTAAAGTTCAAATTACGGTAAGAGGGCAAGGATTAAAAGCATATCACACCAGAGGTGGCAAGAACTTAAAAATATTGATGCTGGACCATTTCACCAAGTGCAGCTGTAGAGTGCTCGAATGTTCTTGAAAGTGAATAGGATTTATTGCGTAACTTATTACTACGACAAGTTCCACGAGTGCCTGCAATGAACACAAATTGTTGGAGAGTAAACACGAATCAAAACAGCCCTGACTGCTTTCACAACTATGGCCAACGAAAGTAACGCCAATGTGCCAACATCCAGGAGCACATTTGCAATCTATTGATTAGGGATAACTTGCAAATCTTGGCCTTCGTGAATGCCTCGGCGTAAGCCTCCATTGGGGACGAGGCATAAACTTAAATTTTAATGAAGGTGGCGTGGCCATTTGGCTTCTTGCTCAAACCACGCAATGAAAACTCTAGTCAGAAGCAAGGATATAGGTCGATGAGATCGCACAAAGAAACTGTCGACCTAGCCCAGTGTAGTTTTGCTAGACCTCTGATGTTCACTGCCTCACATTGGATTGTCATATGCCCTCATTATTACATGTATTCAAAAGCCCTGGTGTATGACGCATAACCTATATTTGCCTCACGGTACAGTTTTTTTAGCAACAGATGGCTGCGGGTGCGCTCGATTTTTTTAACCGCCACCACAAAAGAAAGCGTGTGTAAAGTGGTTTTTTTTGGGTCTTATCACCTAATCAAGAGAACCGTCCAACCTTTGCCTAATTGCTCGTACCACGAAATTAGCTGCGCAACTTGCAAGGCC